GGGGGGGGGGGGTGCTTATGTGTGCTCCGCGCCGGGAATAGAGACTTTCTTTAGAGACTCTGAACCGAGCGTTTAAAGTTAATGAAGAAAAAGGGTTTCGGCTTATCGCGGAGCAGCTGGCTTGTTGGATTGACCGGCCGAGAAGGGGAGCCATTAAACTCTACTATTTCATTATGCGGACCCGGAAGTGCCGGAGTTCTGGATCTGGCTTGATGCTGTGACCGAAACGGGCTTGCTAGTCCATAACGACCAGAATAATTCGCTCTAAGGTGTATGTTGGGGAAGAGTTTATAGTGTTTCTTGCCGGTTTGGATATACGTTACCACAAAGCTCTCACTCTCACTCGCGCCCAAGAGTGTCTAAAGGCCCTCGCGTATCCGATGATGAGGTGACACAGTTATGCAAGTAAACGGAACGGCGGTCAACACGAGTGCAAAATTACCCAAGGTACGGACGTAAGGTACCTATCTACCTTACCTGGGACATAGCGTCATGCACGTTCAGGCTCTGATAGCCGATAAGCTACAGGCGATGGGCTTGGCCATTGCGAACCTACCGCCTTAGATTCAGACGCCTCGGCATGCCCCTACCATCACAAGCATAAGTCGCAATCAAAGCTGTGACAACCACAGCGATGGACAATCTTTTGAGAAACAATCCAAGTCATTGAAGATGCTAATCGGTACGTGCACGCGGCTGGCCATCGTGGCTGCCGTCTTCCTCTTCGCGGCAATCTTCCTAGTTCCCCAGCTCCCTCACGTGGGCTACAACGTGCCCACCCAGCTCGACCACAACACGCCAACGACCGACGGCAAAGATGCTTCGACCGGCCCCGGTAAATTGAATGCTCCCGTCGGTGGTCAGGCGAACAGCCCAAACGCGATCACGTCTTTGGATGCTGTTGCTACATCGCAAAGCTTAGCTGAGAAACCCGCGAAGCCAACTCCTGCCTCCGCCAAAGGCGCGAAACCCGACGCGAAGAAGACGGTGTCCAAGCTCGAAGCTGGCCAGGCCCTTTCGCCATTCCGTCTTGCCTCGCCGAACGGTCGCTACGAACTCAACCTGCTCGACAGTGGGTCCCTTTCGCTCCTCGACACCAAAACAGAGGTCGAGCTGTTCACGTCCGATACCGAGTACCACTGGCCCGTATCATGGCAGGTCGAGCTCACTCAGGAGGGCGTGCTGATGCTCTCTTGGGCAAATGAGACTGCTGCTCCGTACGGCGCAACGCCATGGATCTCGAACCTCCTGCCTGAATGCACTTCCGCAGAAACTGGCAAAGAGAAGCCGGTTCTGGAGCTCCTGGACTCTGGGAAGCTGCACATTCGCGCCGGAAGCAAGACGACGTGCCTCCTCCACCGCGCCACGGACGACATGGGACGTCTCGCAATCGTCTATACCGGATTTTTGCGCACATATCTGAAGACGTGTAAGGAGCAGAACAACAAGCTCGTCAAGACATGGACTGGAAGCGGCGGCGTCGACGTACACGTATTTACGTACCTCGAAGACGGCATCCACGATTCCGACGACCCGGTGAATAAGGATAGCATAACTAAGCATCTGAAATCATGTTTCGGAGACGCGCTCAAGACTGTGGAGATTCTGAAATTGGACGATGTCAAAGAGAGCGCTGTGGACCCTCCCGAAGTGCTGGTGAAGGAGTGTGGCAACGACAGGCTCAATCACCAGCTCAGCCAGTGGAAGGCGTTGTACCTTACCAGCCTACAGGTGCAGAGCTACATGATCAAGGAGGGCATATCTTATGACTACATCTACAAGAGCCGCCTCGATCTCTTGTACTGGGGCGACTCGCCTGCCCTGTCGTCGCTGAAGGTGCCCGAAAACGGCATCCTTGCACCCCGCGTCACCCTCGATTGGACCTGGTATGCTATGCTCCACGATGGTGAACTACGTGCAGGCGTCTCGGACATCACCGCATTTGGGCGTCCCAACGCCATGTTCACTTACCTCACGCTCTACCGCGAGTTCATCCACATGCGGACCCTGGAGAAGGAGACGGCAAAATGGAAGGGCTTCAACACCAAGACAAGGGAGAAGAAGCCCGAGGGCCAGGAGAGTTGTACGCCCGAAGGCATACTGTCGTACTGGCTTCGGATCAATGGCATAGCTGTGAAGACGGACTGGCAGTTCAAAATGGGTCTGTTACGCGGGGATGGTGTGGTTAAATTCTCCTGTCCCGAGGGCAGAGGTTGGCTGTGCCCTGATTTCATCCCGCAGGTTCACGACGATGGAACCCTGTTTCAATAGTTGTAGGATGATGTGGGTAACGACGTCGTTACCACTGGGACTTCAAGTGCAAGGTGTTAACTGGCTCAATTGTATTTCATGCGAATGGAAATGGCACATAAAAATAAAAAGGCGGCGTTTGTGTTCGGCTTCCTTGGCCTGTCTATTCGCTCCCCAGGATATCAAAAGGATTTGAAGACATCTTCTTCTCGGGCCTCATCTGAGGCTCCGCCTCGTCTCGCTTCCTCCGTTTCTTCTTTTGATTTTTGGCTTCTTTTGATGGTAAAAGAAGGTCTTCAGGTATACCCAGTGCTGAGGCGACCTTGCCTAGCGCACCGCTACCTTTCATGATGGTAAGAAGGCGCATCGTCCCATCGACTGATGGATATTCGGTGAGAGGAGGCAATGTAGACAGCATTTCGCGTAATTGTTTCGAGCCTTGGATCGGGTCTTTGGCCCTGATCTCGTACATGAGGTCTAGGACCTGGGCCAAGATACGGAGAGAGTAGAGCGTCGCGTGCACCTGGGCTGACAGATGGACGACATCCCACGGTACAAGATTTGAGTCCGCCGCCACCGACTGGCCCAGCTTGATAGATGTCAGACACGCGTCCTGCTTGTCTTCTTCCTGCGCATGGGCGAGTATGAGCTGCAAGCTCAACGCCTGCCAGGCCGAGCCCTTCTGACCTATGCTGCTTTTTGCTTTGGCCAAGGTTTTGAGAAGTGAATCCATCGAGTCCTTGATCCAAGGTCGGGGTAGCATCGCTACGTACTTGCCCTGATTCACACCAGAAGACATTCTCCGGTATTCCCTAACGTGAGAGACGGCTCCCGGGCGCAGCAGACACGTGAGGCTATACGCCAGCTGTCTCACGGAGGCGCTGGTATCCCACGCGCTTGCGCGGGCTGGGCAGTCCAGGAGGGGCGGCAGGCACATCATGCAGCCCTCAGCGCCGGATTCGCCCGTGGGCGGCTTCGCGACCCCCGAGTACCCCACGCACTGCAAGACGACCTCTGATAGCCTCGCATCGAGGTAGGGTTTGTCGAGGCCGCCGAGCACCGGTACGGCACTCCAATCGGTGGTCTCCAGCGCCTCATACGGCGCGCAAAAGTTTCGAAACTCTTCCGGGTCCGAAACGTCCCCCTTGCAGTTTTCGAGGACTTGCGCAAACTTGGGCCTGGTCGACTTGGATAGCTCGTACGCGAACCTTCGCATGTCTTGGTCCTCAGGCAGCTGCAAGCGCTTGGCAATCTCCGACGGCGAGAACTTGGGGCCCATGAGGGCGTTTTTGCCGTCGGCGGTGCCGACATGAAGGTCTCTGAAGAAGGCTACGGAACCCGTCTTCAAATCGTGGACAGTCAGATCGGAATCCGACGTCAGTATGGTTCCTCCATTGCGTAAGACGTCTTCAGCGCAATAGGCGTCCGCTTCGCCGGGCACCAGGCGAACGAGAGCAGCATACTTTTCGGTCGATTCCAGCTTGTCGACGACAGCCGCGACGAGAAACGCTGGTGGTGGGATAAGGGGTTGGTCTCGCTTGGGCGCGTCGGTCGGGAATAGAGGTGGTACCGAGAGACGTGTTGATGCGATTTGCTTTGCCGGGCATCCGTTGGGAAACCCTGAGCGGAATATTTTGAGAGACGAGGAAACTTTGAATATCCGCTCCAGACGCACCTCGGCCTTGGATGCCGGGAGGAAACCGTCGAAATAGATGGCGGCACTTTTTGAACGTCAGATGAGGTGGTTTAGGGTTTTTCTTCTGACCCCCTTTGGAAAAACACTTACATGCAGATATCGTGACTATCAACCTCTTCTAACCATGCAAGTGCGGTCCTTCCGAGTAAATCGTAAGATGGCAGACCAGACGTGCTTCTTGTGCAGAGATGGTAGATGTGGTATGCTAATGCAGGGCCGTCAATGACAACTCTGTCGCCGTCGAGAGCACCAAATACCCCATAAGGGGAAAGATGATTGAGAAGATGAGGGATCCCCATGATTTAATGATGAGTCTGCCTCATTAACTGAATTAGAACTATGAGAAGAAGATCGTTTATTGAAACACGTTCTCAAGATGACTTTGCCAGCGAGCCGCCAGCCAGTCTCTGCGAAATCTCTTCCACTGACCTAGTCTTTTGAGTCACTGGTGCGTGCGACTTTCTCAATTGATCCCGTAGCCAAAAGCTCAATCAAGTCCTTTGACTATGCCAGTACAAGCTCCCATCATATGTTCCCGTTACAAGAAATCAATGAGATGTCGAAATTCGTCTTTGGCGCATCGCGAGACGTCGATCTCTGGGCGTACTTGCCGAAATAGGGCAGAGCACCTGCAGTTTGGACGCAGAAACACATCGCGGGGTCACGGTGCGTCCCGCACGGTACGTACTACCAAACGGCTGGGTTGGAAAGCCCACCTTATCTCCGGTCCGGATAAATACAGTATGGGAAATAACTATTTTCACCAACTTCTCGTGCCTGCACGGTCTGTCCCACCCCACCTGGGCTTCGCCGCTTCGCTCCGTGCCCGTTTTTTCGGCTGGACGGCCCCCTGGTCCAACTCAATTTTTCCTTCGCAGCAATAAAAGCTCCCCACCACGCGTACCAAAACTCTTCGTCCTTCGCATTCTTCTTGCAAAATGCGCGGCACTCTCATCTTCGCGGGCTCCTCCTGCCCAGTCCTCACTAATCAGATATGTGAGAACCTGGGCATGGCTCCTGCCCAGGCGGAGCTTACCCAATTTTCCAATGTAAGCTGAAGTGCGCATCGCTGGGCCGTCGACACCAGGGGCGGGGGAAACGCCGTTTACTCAGGAACCTCCCATCACCGGGGGGGACAGAGTCGCGGCCGCTCTCACTGCCTTGATTGGACCAATTCCAACTTTGTTTGGACTCCCTGTTGAGGCTGACCCGTCACACAAAAGGGCGAGACGAGCGTGCGAATCTTGACGAGCGTCCGCGAGAAGGATGTCTTTGTCGTCCAGTCCGGCAGCGCCAAGGTCAACGACACCATCATGGAGTTGTTGATCATGATCTCGGCCTGCAATGGCGGCTCGGCAAACAAGATCACTGGTAAGCACTCCTACCTGCTATAACCACGCTTTGTTGCTAACGCAATTGCTTCACAGCTGTGCTGCCGTACTTCCCCTACAGTCGCCAGTCGAAGAAGAAGTCCCATCGGGGTGCGATCACAGCAAGAATGCTTGCCAACCTTCTCGGCGTCGCTGGCGTTAAGCACGTCATTACCGTCGACTTGCATGCTTCTCAGATGCAGGGTTTCTTCAAGTGCCCGGTTGACAACCTTCACGCCGAGCCTTTGATTGCGAGATGGATCCGTCACAACGTGCCCAACTGGAAGGAGGCCGTTGTCGTATCCAAGAACGCTGGCGGAACCAAGCGTGTGACATCGCTTGCTGACGCGCTGAAGCTCAACTTCGGCATGGTCACCACAGAGAAGAACCGGAAGGGAACGAACATGGCTTCGAGCATGATCATGCATCACCTGGACAATCTCGACCGGGAGCCAGTATTGGAGACGACCCGCGAGCCGCCAACCGCGAGACCTTCCACGCCTCCTGCTGCATCTGGCCGGGCTGCCAGAATCAGAACCGATGCACACGGTTCACCTCAGTTTACCAGCGCTCCGCGATCTCATCCTCGATCAATGGAGGACCAACCCACGACACCCACGCAGTCCAAGCCTGGCGATGGGTCGGTCGACGATGATGAGGAGGGCGATTCGCAGTACGATGATCGCCGCGCCCATGAGGTCACGCACGGACGATTGGTCCAGGGTCACATAGTGGACGACGACTATCCATCGCCGGCTGCATCGACCGTGAGTGGCAGCGTCCAGGGCGACGACCCCATGGCGATGTCGCACGCCTCTTCATTCTTTGCCCCCGAGCCGCATGCTCTTGGAGGCTCTGGAGACGCGGCCCCGGAATCGGACGAAGAGGACGAGGTCTTGAAGGACCCGAAGGTTGAGCACATGATCACTCTGGTCGGTGACGTCAAGAACAGAACCGTCTTCATTGTCGATGACATGATCGACAAGCCCAATTCGTGGATCGCCGCGGCCGAGACGGTTGTCAAGAAGGGACGTGCTAAGAAGGTCTACTGCATGGCCACCCACGGTGTGTTTGGCGGCGACAGCCTCGATCAGCTGCAGGCATGCGAGTGCATCGATACCATCCTCGTGACCAACAGCTTCCCCATCCCCGAGGACCAGGCCAAGCGATGCCCCAAGCTCGTGGTCCTGGATCTCTCCTTCCTCCTTGCCGAGGCCATCCGCCGTAACCACTACGGCGAGTCGATCTCCCCTTTGTACCAACACATTCTGGACTAAGATCCAGCGAAAGCGTGGAAACAAAAAAGGATTGTCTCGGTTACAGTTCGCTTGACACGGCTTCTTTCTGCTTTTCCTATCTTGGACTGGCTCAGGGATTTTTTTTAATGAGTCCAGTTTGTGTGTGGCATACTCGGGGGAGAGGTCATTTCAGCGCGGCGTTCTGGACTACAATGGCAGAGTGGAACAGCCAGATTGGTGACACCAAAAACATACACGCGTCCGAGGAGACTTGGTAGGTCTACCACACATCAACACAAACCATGGTCAGTATTAGACATGAATGATGAAACTTTGATACCTCTTTTTCAACCGGCCGCCTGCTTCAGCATGGCGTGTGCGCGTGTCTGCAAACTGATTTACACTATTTCTCTCTTGACGGTAACACTGGGCTGCATCACTGTTGTCCTATGTTTCCTTCACCAACGATGCTGTTTTCTGAACAGCCGGGGCTCTGTTTATCTCAGAACAAGTCCTGAACGGAGCGTTGGCAGATTAAATTTTCGACTAAAAGAAGATCCCTCTTCCGGTCGTCTTACTGACGGCCACAGCCTCCGGGACTGGTGGGAGAGGGATAAGAGAAACCTTCGAACATCTTTTCAAGTGATTTTTCCTGGGTGTTCAATCACATTCGGCGTCTAGACCGAGTTTGTTCCCTTCAGCTATTGATAGTAATAATACACTTCATCTTTCAATCCTTTTTTTTTTTTTTTTTGTGGCCTTTGCGTCGTGACTTCGTCCCATGAGTACCTACATACACCCTTCCGTTCCATCGTAACGCCCTATCCGGGAATTCCGCAAAATAAGATGAGGTTCATCCACGCCTCAAGCAAGACCAGTCAAGCCTTTCCTACTCAAACAATTCCCACCCATGGATCTCGTCCAGCAGCTGCAGATACGTACTCTTCTCGCCCTCCTCCTTGACCGCCGCAACGTCCTGGAGAAGCTCCTCGCCGAAGTTTCCACAGCCAGCAGCCTTGATGATGCGCCACGCGCGGCGGAACTCGTCGCGGATGGCGACGATGCCGTTGTGCGTGACCGTACGCGCGACGTTGTGGTCCAGCTCAAAGGGGTCCTCGATCGCAAAGAGGTAGCGGTGGCGGACCTCCTTGACTTCGCCGTTCTTCTGCGCCGCCGCCGTGATGGCGCCGCTGTCGGTGGAGGTGGCGGTGGTCGTCATCGTCGTCGGGGTGGGCGGGTCGATGGGGGACTTGAGGGCCATGTGCGGCGGCGCGGAGCCGGAGGTAGGGCCGTCGGTGCTGGGGGAGTTCACGGAGTTGGTGGCGGCGTTGGGGCGGTACTCGATGACCGTCTTGGCGCCGGTCCAGCCCTTTTCCGTCTTGGAGAGCAGGCCGCCGGGGGAGCGAATGCTGAGGACGTCGCGACCCCAGTCGTATCCTCTGCCGGGGTAGGTGCTCATGGAGCCGTTTTGGGCGTAGTACTCGAAGAAGCCGCGCAGGAGCTGGCCAACGGAGTCGCGGTTGCCGTTGAGCTGGTTCATCTGGGCGAGGCGTAGGATCTCGGCCTCGTCGCGCCAGAAGCCAACGAAGCGGCCCCGGCATATGATGCTCTCGTCGAGCTGTACCGTGGGCGACAGTCCCTCGGGCGGCGGCGGGGGTCCGAGGGCTTGGAGGTTGGGGCAGACGAAGGGCTGGACGACGTTGACGAGGTAGTGCAGCATCATCAGGACGTAGCCGTAGCTGCTGAGGGTGCCGCGGTAGGGCGTGTTGACGCCGCGGACTTTAGCCCAATGCTTAACGAAGAGGACTAGCGGGCGAACACGCGGATCGGTGTGGGAGTAACAGCGCAGGAGGAGGGTGTTGTGCAGTGCGAGGTGGGCAGCGAAGTTGATGTCACACTGGACGCCGACGCCGCTCTTCGGGAATTCGAGCTTGTCGCGGTAGGGGTCGCGGGGTTGGTTAACGGCCATCTTGGCGGGGTCCTTGAGGTCGCGCATGCGCTTGATGGTTTCGATGTTGTATTTCGTAACGGGGATGACGTAGTCATACTGGGGGTCTTGGACGTTACTCTTCCGCATAGGACTCCGGAGGATCGAGATGTATTCTCTTATGTCGCTCTCGAGGCTCGGGTCGTACAGTTGGTGCTCGACGGCTTTTCCGAGCTCCAGGGCGAGTTGCAGGCTCTTGTGCCGGCGCGCGACGGCGAGGAGGCTGAGCGGTTCATTGGCGGTGTCGATGAACTCGCGTACTTGGGTGCGGGTGGTACTCGGCCAGATGCCGGCCGCATATCTATCAATGATGAGCTGCTTCGCAGCCGTTGCCTCGTTGTCGCTCCGGGGGCGGAGATTCGCGAGGATCTTGAGGGTTCTCGCGTGGTACCCTGTAGCTGCTTCGTGCTGGCTCTGTTCAAGGGTCAGTAGCTGCGCGGTTGGGAGCTTCTTGAGCTTCTCCAGGTGCAGCTGCAGGTGCTTGCTGTACGTGAGGGGCTCGATGCCAAAGTGCGGCTGGTTCTGGAGGGTCTTCCACGAGGCGATGAGATTCCGAGCTGCGTCTTCAGTGTCGTCTGCACTTCCGATGGCGGCGTCTGCCTCGCAGAGCATGACGATCTTCTCGCCCTCCATCTGAGCGTAGACACCGGCCAGTGAGCGGTAGTTGGGTACATTGGGAACTGTCCTAAAAGACAAAGACGCGTAGTTTGACAGTCTTTTTCTCAGCTCCGGGTCGCGGAGGCCCTTGAGGAACGACTCGCAAACCCTATTCAGGAGGTCGTAGTCCTCTTCTACCAGCTCTCGACAGTTGGAGAGAGTAACATCCCGGCCTCCCAGTCTTCTCAGAGTCCGCTTCGCCACATTATAGTAAGCGGACAGAGACTGGTTGTCAGGCTGGCGAATCGCGGGCACTCTGGGCCCATTCGAGTTGGAGCCTGTGGGAGACGAAACGTCTGGCGTCTGGTTGATCGCATCGTCTATCGACTCGTCCGTCGCTTCTCTGGCGTGAGCGTCTGCCGTCTCGTCTTCGTCTGCGGCATCTGCATGGTCGGTATCCACGATGCCCTTTTCCCACTTTTCACGCTCCTCTAGCAGGTCCTTGAGCAACTTTGCGGGAGGGTTCTGACAGAGCTTGATGATCGGTACTCTCGTGCGGGTCAGGAGCCGTGCGCCGAGGCCCATTTCGAGGAAAGCCTTCTCGATGAGCCTGGGGATTGCAGACCCCACAGCATCCGGTTGAGGTATAGAGAGGGGTGATACCAGACCAAGATCCATGTCTGACGCTTTCGTCGCGAACCCAGAGGACAGGCTGCCGAAGCACTTGAGTTGCACAGACGGCGGGGGAAAGTTCTCTAAGCCATTCTGTGTTGCCTCGTACTCGGCTACTGCGGCCCGACATGCTTGTTCAATCTTGACCCGGAAGGCTTCTTTCTCAGCGATTTCTCCCCTTTCAATTTCTGCGCCAGCAACGAGAGTGTTGCAGAGGCTCTCCAGGTAGGAGGCCTGGTTCTCCAGCTCCTCGGGTCGGACTGGGTGATGTTGACCACGGGGGCTATAGAGCTGGCCATGGTTGTTCCGAGGAAAGCGCGGTGAGCCATGCTCTTGTCGACCACTGGCGTGCTGGTCGTGCTGGTATCGGTCCGAGCTGGCGAGATGTTGATGTCCGTTCTGTCTGGGGGAGTGAGGTGACATGGCGCCTGCGAGGTGGGCCGGACCATGGTGCTGTCCTGGGTGATGATGAACCCTTCCTCCTCGAGGAGGCTGGAATTTAGGATGCCCGTGATGATAAGAGGGATCGGGCCCGCCTGAGTATGGTCGTCCAGCCTCAGTAGGCGGGGAGGGGCGAGGATCAATGGGAATGGACAACTGAGCATTCATCTGGCGTCTCTGCGCCTGGTTCGGCCGCTTTCTGCCCACTTTGGGTGAAGGTGGTGGCTTGCCATTGATGCCAACCGAGGCTCCCGGAAGAACCCCTTGAGGGTGGAGATGATCGTTCGGTCCGTTCATAGAGATTCCATCGTCGGGAAAGTGCGTGTTCGTATGCGGGGCATTTGGAACCTCAGCCAGGCCGGTTGCCGGCGTACTATTTGTGAGAATCATGTTTCGCAGGTGATCCTCGAGGCCGTTGGTATGAGAGCCACCAAACTGGCCCGTGCCAGATTTACCGGCACTATTCTGCATGATGACGGTTTCTTGAAGTTGTTGTCATCCGAGGCAATGATTTGAACACAGCTTGACGAAGTGTGAGGCTACTGTGGGGGATTGATGAGCCACAACGCATGCCATTGAATGAAAACAGGCGTAGAGCGCTTACCTGGTCAGACACGTCCGTGACGCATGGCTTGGACAGTCGGATGTGAAGGTTTAAAGAGTGGTTCAGTAGGTGCGAAGTTGAGAAAGAAGGTTGTGATTGGAAGCTTGTTACCAGTTTCCGATTGGCAAGCACCTCATTCATGTACGGTAAGGTAAGGTAAGGTAAGGTAGGGAGGTGGTATAAATGGAACTTCAAGTGAGGTGAAAGCTGTACGTGGGGAAGGAGGGTACATTTCCGATTGAGGGGCTACAGTGTGCTTTGTGATGGCACTGTATATTGCAGCCGGGCATTGGCCAGGATTTCACTGTACGGATACTGCCCACCATCGATTGTACCCAAAGTAGGTACCTCGACATGTATACTAGGTGGTAGGTAGCTGAGGTAAAACCAAGATTTGTGGAATGAATTGAACGCGTACTATTTTATTTTACATAATTCATGGTTATCCAAGGTCTTTTATCGCTACAGAATGGATACTATATTTCCCCCTAGCGAGTCTCAAAATATCGTCGCCTTTCTCGAGATAGCTCTGTTGAGACTTGTACTTAGTTATGGCCTGGGGGTTTATGGGCCGCCGATGGACGTGGGACTTGAGGTTGTCGAGGCTGAACTTCTTATTTAAAGTCGAGTCATTGACTCACGCTTCGAGCGAGGGGTATTCTACGTTCATGGAAAATTGACCCTTTGAATGCAGCAAGTGAAGACAAACTCCGCTGTTGTTCATCGCAAAACACTATCCGTCCATGCTGTCGAACCAAGGCAAGGTACCTTCCCGTCAGACCATCCCGATGACGTCCTACCTTACCTACCACCATACCTAGTGAGGCTCGCCCTTTCCAAGTGCGGTTCCATAGCCGCGGGCGAATTGTAAGGCACGGTGGATGACCCGCCCAAGAAACGTACCTCGCCTTACCTTATTCCAGGCTCATCTCTTAATTAGCTGCTAGTGTGCCTTGCGCCAGACTTTTGCCTGCAGAATACAAACAAGCCTGTCAGTAGGTACCTTAGGTACCTCGTCACCTCGTCTCGGCTAGTCCACCGCCCAGCTTTTCTGCAAGCTACCGAAGCTGCCTAGGAAGGTGCGCCTGATTTATGAGCCCGCGTTCCAATCGTCCTTTCCCGTATGCACCTCGCCGTCCGTACTCTTTGTCATCACCTCGACCTTTTCATCTCCGCCAATTCATCTGTACTTATCAATTCGCCAGTACATAACCGCCGACCGAGGCAGTGCTCCAGACTTTTTGGCGAGCATTGATATTCAACCCTTTACTGCAACACCGCGTCCACCGTCTCCAGCAATTGTATCTTGCGCCGCGAGCCTAGCTGACGGGACAGACGTCGTTTCTGCCTACGTTTCTGCTTGTCTCGTGCTTGACAGAGAACGCTTGAGGAAGAGAAAACAGAACTGTCGCTCACTAGCATCATCCCGAGACAAACGCTTACAGCAAGCGCTCTCGACTCTTGCGCGCCCGCTGACAGCATGAGCGCGCCGCCGCCAGGCCTGCCCAACGGCCAAAATCCGAATGGCCAGCCAGGCCAGCCTGGGCAGCCCCGACCTCCTCCAATCAAGCGACGACCCAAAGGCGATCCCCTCGTTGCTCGCAAGCGACCTGGAGCTCCACGACCGCCTGCTTCGCGTCCTCGTCCAGGCTCGTTGCAAACTGCCCCAGGCGCAAGACCACCTACCGGTGCACCGGGTCACCGTGGCCTCCAACGACCTGAAACCGAAGAAGATATCAGAGCCAAAAGAGCGGCAAACGGGGGCTGGCTCGACCCCGCGCCCCAGAATGTCAGGGAATTCAAGATCGTCACGACAAAGAAGGCATTGAGGGACGGCGTCAGGCATCACGTCATGAAACTCTATTCCGCCAAAGCCGAGCTCGAAAAGAACGGCATTGATCCCACAAATCAGGACGAATTCACCCGACCTGTCACTCTCCAACGTCGCGATCCGCGACAACCGCCCCCCGGACGTGAAGTCAAGCACGAAGAGCCAGAGCCACAACCCGTTGACGAGAAGGAGGCTGAGCGTTTGGCACAACTCAAGGCTGAACGTGAGGCTGTTCGAGCTGTGGAACTCGCCAAAAGTGCCCCCAGTCTGAAGGACCCTAGTGCTGATAAAAAGCCGAAGCCCAAGGAGAAGGAGAAGGATGTCCAATTCCATCGTCAGCCTCGGTCGGAGAAAGAGAAGAAGCAACAGGGACTGCGGTACGAAGAGGCGCTCCCTTGGCATTTGGAGGATGCAGATGGCAAAAATGTCTGGGTTGGATCCTATGTCGCACCTCTGTCGGAGACCACCGTCTGCTTTGTTGCTACCAGAGATGGCAAATTCGCGGCGATACCTCTGGAAAAATGGTACAAATTCACTGCGAAGCCTCATTTCAATACCATGAGGCTCGAAGAAGCCGAAGCCCTAATGAGTAAAAAGACAGACATCGGCCGATGGTATATGCGCGACAAGCAAAAGAAGAGCGAGCAAGAGGAATGGGAGGCGACTAGGCATGCCCTTTACGGCCCTGCGAGAATCAAGACGGAGAGCAGCACCTTCAGAGCTGCTTCTCGGGAGGAAAAGCAGGACCATGACGAGATTGACATGGAAGGCGACGAGTTCCAGGACGACGACGAGAATCCCGGCTTAGACGTGGACAATGACGAGGACACCAAGGAGGCCACCGACCGCATCCGCCGCGATCAGATGGGCGCCAATCTGTTTGGCGAGGCTGACGAGCGTAGAGTGGAGAAGGAGCTGAACGAGATGAGGAAAGCCGAGGAGGAGCGCCGCAAAGAGGGAAAGCGTACCACTAAAGCGCTCATCAAGAGAGAAAAGGAGACTATCTACCAATCTGATTCGAGTGGCTACGATCCTTTCGAGTCCTCGTCGGTAAGACGCTCAGGTTCGCTGTCATTTGGCGTCTTGACTAATCACATCTACAGAGCGAGGATGATTCCGATGAGGAGAAGAAGAAGGAAGAGGACAAGGACAAGGACAAGGATGATGAAAACAAGGAAAAGGACGGGGATTCTAAAGATAAGGCTGCCTCGGGTGTGTCCCCCAAGGGCAACACTACCCCGTCTGGCCGACAGAAGCACACGGATGCTCTTAAGAAGGGCAAGTCTTTGAAGCGTCCTGGCTCTCCCAACTTGTCGGAATCTAGTGGCAACGAGTCCTCTCGGAAGAAGCTGAAGAAGCATGCTGCGGCTTCCGTCCATCAGAGCCGTTCGTCTACGCCCTCGGGTGGCTTGAAGAGCAACCTTGGCAAGGGTGCCATGAGCGACGGAGAAGCCACTGGAGGAGAGATGTCAGATGGGCAACTGAGGAAGAAGAAGATCAAACTTGTTGGCAGTGGAGCGAGAGGCACGCCAGTCGGCTCGAGGGCCGGTAGTCCTGTCCCCGCAGCAGCCGGTAAGCACAAGCATCGTTTTTGGTCCTGTTCAGAGAAAATGCTAAATCAGCTTATAGGCTCCAAGCCCGGTTCACCGGTTCCAGAGGGGTCCCCGGCTCCGCGCGGTCCCATCCAAGCTCATGAGATTGTTGACGCCCTTCCGGAGCTTCCTGGTGGTATCAGCATTGGTAACCTCATGAGGAGATTCCAGGGACGCATCGGTGACGGGCCTGGTCAGATGGACCGAAAAGAATGGATCAAGCTGGTCAAGGAGAATTGTGCCTATGGATCCGACAAGATTCTTCGCCGCAGACCTTAGGAGGGGATGCCCTCATTGTAGATTTCCTGAGCGAGGAATCCACCATGTGTGGTGCTCGTCAAATGAGATTTACCCGCCGATAAGGAAAACTTCAACTGAGCTGGTTGGGCTTTCATGATGCCATAGAGGTTCTCGACATTCTCGGTATTGATCAGTTGGGGATTTCATGCGTCGTATTGTCAGTGGTCCCGGTCAAATGGAGTATTAGGAATAGCAACAGCTCGTAAAGGGCAATCACCTCAGTGGACCTAACAAGTTTCACAATCACAAACGAGCCCGAATGCTCCCTTCGATTCTCGAGCACGGCGATGCCCTAGTGACAGGTGGTGATAAGATTCGGCAAGCACTTTGCAGTGTTCCAGGATCCTCTTGGGTACGCTCATGGTCCATGAAATCAGTGGAACGGATACAGCTTACTTTGAACCACCGTGTCTTTGGGCCCGAAACGACTGATCGTCGCATGCTATCTCAGTGGGAGCCGCGAGAGGGAATTTCCAGGAGAGTAGAAGTCACGGACAAACACTCCTCTAGTCAGTGATGAGTAGATTCAGAGTCAGTCATTGCTTGTATGTCACTTGAGATAGTACATCAACCAGGCTGTTTGACTGTGGTTTGGGTGATTAAGTAAATTTTCCATGTCTGAAGCATTCTGGTAGCCTTATGTGAAGGCCTGCACCGCCCTCGCGCTTGGCTGTGTTGGCTCCGATATTGATCATGGTTGATATCTGCGAATACCACGATCGCAATCATTACAGGATCTTTACTGGTGCCATCATCGTTGGTCATCGTTCCCTGCACCGAAATTCGCATGGGCACCTTGGCCTGATCATTCATCCATCTGCCAAGCGTAGTCGAGGCCCTTATTCCGCTCCTTGCGGTTAATCGCCTTGAACCGTTCCCCTTCGAAGCCAGTACTCCTATCGACACCGTCCCACCTATACCCCGGCTTGATACCATATCGATTCGGCGGCGCAGCACCAGCATACACTGGCCTCCTCTTCCCCCTTTTGCCTTTTACACCTGCGCCTGCGCCGCTCGTCTTCTCGCTCAAGAACTGCGCCATCGGATCGTTCCACCGCTCCTGCTCTTTCAACTCGTTATTCATCTCCTCGTCGTCCGCAGTCCGCGCAAACGTCATCAGCTTGGCGTCCTCCAGCGCCTCCCTTCGTTTGCGCGCATTTTCCAGCTGCACATCACCCTTGGGCGCCAGCTTCGCCTGCCGTTCCTTCTCTTCCGCCTCGAGCGCGAGCTTTCGCGCTTCCGCACGCTTCATGGAGACGTCGACACGCCGGCCCGTGGCGTCGCGGTAGACTGTCTCTTCTTCTTTGCCGTGTTTTCTGAGCTTGGCGAACTCGGCTTCTTCTGCTTGCTGGCGACGGCGTAGTTGCGCCGAGACGGCGGCGGCGCTCTGGAGACCTGCGTGTGTGCCGTCGCTCATTTTGACTACGTTGGCCTCGTCGCCGCCCTCTATTACGGGCATCTCGTCGTCTGCATTTCTGGCTGCTGCGTTCTCTGCCGCCGCTGAGGCGATGATCGCGTCGGCTGCCGCAGCGCTGTCGTCGTCATTATCGCCCTGTGGTTTGGAGGATGCGACTGTCTTCCAATTTGATTTCTTGGTCTTTCTAAATTCCGCCGTGGTACCTGATACGAGGGCCGGTCCGGATTCTGCGTCGTCGTCCTGTGCGGTGGAGTTGCCCCAGCCGTTGTCGTCGTCGTCGGCGATGATGAGGCCTTGGGTCTCGGTGGCTTGCTTGCGCTTGCGCTTCTTGGAGGGTTTCGGATCTGCTACTAGGTAGCGCGTCGCGAGGTATGATGAGAGATCGGAAGGCATGGTCAGAAGTTGCCGCTGTGGGCGTGAGGAAGGTGGGAATAGATATCGTTTGGGGCGGGTTCCGTAGCATTTAACCTGAGCTTCAATAATTCGACGCCCTCCAGCTACCTACCTATCGACGTCGTTGCACATCAAAAAGATGCACGGACCTAATGGGCCAGAACCAGAAAAGCAGGGGCCACGGACCGACAAGGGTCCCCCACTGCCCCCCGTCCTCCACGAATGGACGTGCATATGACGGGGCGCTAGTTACTTACCGGAGGTTTGAGTGGTCTCTCGCGCGAACCTGAGAATGACGGCTTCTGAGTTGCAATTCGGCCAGCTGCAGCGTACACTGTGGTATCGTCACGGAGCCAGTCTTTCTTTGTACGCCATCTTTGCTTTTCTGCGTCAGAGCTCAAGGTTGCTGACCTGACCCGGTCATCATTTAATTTCTACGATCCACCGCCGAACCCCCTAATAATTACGACGCAAAAAGCCATCGGGCGGAGTTACGAATGCTACAACACCCAACTTCCGACATTCAAGCGAGTGGGTTTTACGTATTTGACAGGATCAAGGCAAAGGGTATCGGTCTTTGCCGACTGATATACCTCACGCGGCCTTGATCATGCAGTCTCCGGACAATGACGCCTCGCCAATCGAGTCGCTCCCCGCCATGCCCATGGCCGCCTCGACGGGGAGACCGCCCAAGAGGCAGTCAGTGCCCGAAGGCCACCCGCTGTCACAGTCTGAGGTTACCTTGCCGTATCGAAGGTCCAACCCGTCCATCGCGCCGCTCTTCGCCTCCACTTTGACTCCTCCCGGATCACGATCGGGGTCCCCCATGGGGAGAGGCTCGCCAGCCCGCAGCACAATGTCTGGCTCCATCTTCGGCGGGCCAGCAGCTCGCTCACTCATCGAGAACGCTTCTGACAGCCCCGGCGATCCGCGGAATCTGATTATGAAAGCCTACGTTCCCCATGTTGCGATTTATGCCTCGCCAGATACCGAGGAGCTCGCGAGTGACAAGGGTTTCAAGAACGGGTTGTGGGAGCTCCTGCGCCCATTCGGAGAACAGGTGCAGGGCAAGGTCACTATCAGAGACAGCAACGGCGCCAGCAGATCTTGGGAGGACTATTCGATTCGATTCACCAAGTTTGGAGACAATATCGAGCTACCGGGTGCGAGCGGCACGCACGGCACGCAATCTGCCGCGACCAATGGACAAGGCGGATCTATGTCGAATTCAAGGAGCCATTACGATGACGTCGAAGCTGTGGTGAACAGCCATCTCTCCTATGCCGAAGAATCATTCCTCAACGCCCCACACCACGGATTGACGAGACAGGGTCTGGATGTGGAGGCTACTTCGCCATACTACTCATTATATCTGCGGAGACTGTTGTCGGGCATACCCGTGTCACCCCATGAGACATTTGCGCATCCAGTGGCCTGCGTGATTGCCATCAGTTCGCGGAGTCCATCCCCGATAGAAGACCTGCGCAAATTATACAACGACACAAGCACTGGTGAGAATAGGCTGCCGGTCTGGGTAGACGGAGACTATCTTCGATACTACGTTTTGGTACATGACGAAGAGCGCGACGACGTCACCCGGTCACTAGCTTTATTCGACCAAATGAAGCGTCATCTTGGCCTGCATTGCCATTTGCTACGCTTGAGAAGCACGCAGAGCGCGGAGACTGACGACGATAGCATACCTCTGCCGCGGAGCGATTGGATGTCGGCAGCCGAAGAATTAACAGACATTCAAAACAGCGAGGAGCGAGAAGACTTCGAAGACCCAACAAGATACATCTTCGAGTCGGATGCCACAGCGATCCGCACCTTTGTGAGAGAAATGGTGACGCAGTCCATTATACCTACCATGGAGCGCCATGTGTCGCTTTGGAACGACCAAGTCGCATCTCGTAGGAGGGGCATCACGGGAAGGTTCATGAATCTGTCGCGGAAATGGGGAGGCTTCGGCAGTAGCTCGAGAAATTCCGTCGTGGGCGGCAGCGGTTCGTCAAGCGCATATGACGCGCTCGGATTCTACCGGCCGGATGCATCAGAAGCTATCATGCGAAAGCTAGCCGACTTCGCCTTCATGCTCAGGGACTGGAAACTGGCACACTCGACGTACGACCTCCTTCGGTCCGACTTCAGCGACGCAAAGGCCTGGAAGTATCACGCGGCAGCCAACGAGATGGCCGCCGCCAGTCTCCTCATTATGCCGCAAAATCTGCCTTCAAAGTCTCGCGCCGAGACGATTGACCAGATGTTGGAAGCGGCCTTTTATTCTTATTACACACGTTGCAGCTCTCCGTTTGGCGCGCTGAGATCTCTGACGCTCGGCATCGAGCTTCTGCGGCTCAGGGGTGGCAGCAGCGTCGACGACGCCGTGCGATGGGGCATCCGGCTCCTCGACTCCAAGATCCTCGGCCCCGTCGGTGACGCCCTCATGAAGGAGCGACTTGCCGTCTGCTACGCCTCGAAACCTGGCGTCGGCTCCGGCTCGTGGGGACACCGGAAGCGCAAGTCGGCCATGTGGTGCATCCTCGGCGGTGAAGCCTGGGACCTCCAGCAAAAGTACATCCAGTCCCAAAGATGCCTCAACGAGGCCTCGCGGATCTACTCGGAACTCCCGCACGAGAACGGCGTCTCCAAGTTCAGCCTCGCCAACGATTTTGTTGCGGGTCTACAGCACCAGCTCGATGAGAAGCTCGACGCGGACGACGGGGCTGGCGGCGACGAATCGCTGTCGCAGGACGTGGAGGAGGTTCTCATTGACGAGGAGAGCGAGGCGTTGGACTTCAGGTCGAGGAGAACGAGCATGATGGGTCGTGGAGGGGCGCCGGTCGCGAGCCTTGAGACTGCGCCGTTACATGAGGTTACGTCGCCTGTCAGGGAGAAGGGGGATGGTTCGGTGCAAGACGATTTTGGCTAACGACCTTGGAGCTTTGGGGGTGCCGGGGTGGCAGTGATGGATGAATAAAGTTATTTGTAGATGCGTTTACGAAGCGGATTAATAGCATTTACACACATTCTCCTTGTGTCTCCTTTCCGGTAGCACCTATTATCCTCTTGATTGTCCGCTTCTTTCACCAAGATGAACACTCTTGTTGAAATCAGAAAAAGGCAACTCGACGTTTGTTGGTCATTTTCCCTCCGTTTCTGGATTGTCCACGTCTTCTGTTCAATGGAGCTATATTCAATTCATCCAGATACATGTAGGTCAATACGTCCGATTTGTTGCATGAGGTACCTAGACACTGTCAGTTGCTAGTGTTGCCTTAAGGTTGACCAAGGAGCCCGCCATCCATCGCCAAGCGTCGGGTCAACGTCGTTCTCGAGTACGTACCTGCGTAAACCCCTGCTCGAGGTCAGCCGCCCGGATTCACTCTGGGCCCTTGGACCCATCAGTGATCTCACCAGCAACCGATAGGAGAGAGACACCGCTAAACAAGCGCCGATAAGGCAGCTTCCCCCCACCGTCCCGCCAAACCCGCTGCAACTTGCAACTGCTTCGTTTGGCTCGTCGGGAAGTTTCTAGTGTAAGGTAGCAATACGACTTTTTTGGTTTTGCTTGGAGACTGTACGTTCTTTATCTGTTTGAAATCGCGTTTACTGTTCCTTTCTTGGACTCTTTCACAAATCTCCCCCCCTCCAGCCGATATCGAGGTCGAAACGCATATACACTCAAGCAGAACCGACGAGAGCACTCGACAAACCCGACGTCACTCGGCCAAGATGGGAGAGCTCGCCGACTTCCTCGTCGAACGAGACCAGAACTTCCGCAAGTCCGTTCCCCCCCCCCTTCCCTTCTGTTTCTATACCCAACCTCATGACTTAGCTTACCTTTAACGTGTCCCGCCCAGAGCCCGTCTGCCAGCCCTCTACTCCGACTTCCGCCCCCAACGAACCTTGAACCCAGACGGCTTCCAAGCCAACGTCAGCGCCTGGCGCCAGGCCCTCGCCCGCGCAGCATGGGAAGGCAGGATAGCATCGCAGGTTTCGGCGCCGAACCTACTCGTCGTAAACGTTGACGAGCAGCTCGTGCGGTCCCTCGAGAGCAAGCAGTTTGGCCGGCCATTGGCGCTGGGCACCGTTGTCAGGGAAGCCGTGGCCGAGAAGGATCTGTACCCGCTCAACGACTTTATCAAGGCCAAGGAGAGCATCTACGCGGGCAAGACGTGGGCACAGGTGCCGTGGAGCGTGGTGTCGTGGGCGGCGGGCCAGTTGGGCTTCGGTGGCGGCAGGTCAACGGCAGGGGAGGATAAGATTCCGCAGGGCAGGTTCGTGGTGCTGAAGAACGTGGAGACGACGGCCAAGAGCCTTGCCGAGAAGGTCACCTCTGCGGATTCGAGATTTGACAGGACGTACACAAAGTCACATTTCCAAAAGACGTTTGCCGATACCCTGGTACAAAATAGGAGGTTATCGGAGACGGACGTCGACATCCTGCTCGTCTTCCTCTCGCGGGATAAGGGGATCGTGGTGTACGACGGGCAGGTCGTCAAGATCAAGGGCTCTGGCACGGACGAAGGCGAGGCCAACATTACGGAAGAAGACGCCGCCGTTTCGTCGCTCAAGGAGCTCATCGCCGACATGAAGCAGCAGACGGAACTGCTCACCGCCCGCGTCGACGAGCTCACAGCAACGGCAAAAGAGGCCGTGGTGAAGAAGAACAAGGTCGCCGCGCTGGCGGCGCTCAAGTCGAAGAAGATGACTGAAGCGTCACTGGAGAAGCGGTTCGCGACGCTGAACCAGCTCGAGGACGTGGCAGCGCGCATCCAGGAGGCCAGGGACAACGTACAGCTCGTCAGCGTCATGGAGGCGAGCGCGGGGGCGCTCAAGGGGCTCAACGAGAAGGTTGGAGGTGCGGACCGGGTCGGAGACGTTGTGGACAGGCTGCGGGAGCAGATGGGCGAGGTGGACGAGGTGGGCAAGATCATCTCCGAGGCCGGCGCCGCGCCTGTCGTGGATGAGTTCGAGGTCGACGAGGAGCTGGAGGCCATGGAGCGCGAGGAGAGGGAGAAGGAGGAGGCGGCGGAGCGCGCGGAGAAGGAGGCGCGGGAGGAGAAGGAGGCCGAGAAGACAAGGAGGCGGCTCGAGGAGGAGATGGCGGGTCTGAGGCCGCCTGTCGCGGAGCCCACTGCGGAAAAGGAGGGCGCCTCGTCCAGGGAGGGAGCGAAGACGCCGACGGGGGAGACGGCCGACGGCTTGGAGAGGATGGAGCTCGAGGAGCAGCCGCAGCCGATGCCGGCGCAGTGAAGGAAGGCATTCACGCATTGTATTAACGAACAATTGGGGTAGATCACGGCGTTTTTGGTTTGTATTCAAGCAAGTCTGTACATCTTACAGTCGACAGGGTATAATAAGGAAGAAAGCGCTATGTCATGCAACTACCACGCAGAGTCACCGCGCCTCCTGACTGCTGGGTATCTGTGGCTCTGAGAAGCCGTCGCGCAGATGATATGCCGCTGCTGGCAGCTGAGGTTTGGTGGCTGTCGAAGCCTCAACTTGCATCATGGGTACTGGGTGACCATCCTCAGGGACGTCTCTGGCGGTATCCGCTGGTCGCTCCGTCAAATCGATCACCACCGCGGAGGCCACCGAACCATCCCTTTGCGAAGCCACATTGAGAGCATCCGGCTCTGTTGAAGCAACCCCGCCATCTCCTGACTTTGGAGTATCTGTCTCGTCTTCTGATTTAGGCTTCGCCTGCGCCCTCGACTTACGCGCATTGGCAATGAGGTCCTTGAAGGACGTATCGTGCTTCGCCGCCCACGCGACGCCGTCAAACTCCTTGTCCTTGACCGCCGCCCCGGGCCGCGCAAACATGGCCGCCTTGGAACCCTGCGTGCGCTCCCACACGTCAAGGTCGTGCAGCAGCTCCGCCCTCTTCTTTGGGCGCGCCGAGTCGCAGTTGGCGTTCCACAGCGTCACCCATTCCTTGTGCCTCTTTTCCAGCTGCAGTCGGCCGCCCGTCACCGAGAGGCCGAGGTCGGACATCTTCTTGCGCAGGGCGGCGTCTTTGAGCATGGAGTAGGCGAGGGCGGGGAGGCGTTCGGGCGCTGCGTGCGGTCTGGGTCCGCCGCGGGCGGGAGTGTTTGGTGTCGGTGTCCGGCTTGAGCTCGCCGTGCGGGGGGCTGTTGATTGACGCGGTGATTTTGAGCCGTCGCAGGTGTCGAGGTGTCGAAAGACTTGTGCTTCCTTCATGCGGCTGCTACATATGGGACAGGGAACTAGGCCATCGTCGGGAGCTGGGAAGGAAACGTGTTAGAAGGGAACCCAAATGACGGAGCGCCGTCGACAAGAGCCATTGCTTACTGAAATCTGCGTCCTCGGTCTCGTCATCTTCCTGTGCTTGGTCCATCTGCTCAGCTTCGTCGTCCTCGCGCACTGGCGCGGCCGCAGCCTGTCCCGATCTCGTCCTGCTGAGCCTCGCTGAACTCCTGAGGCGCTTGGTCTCTGGCTGTTGCTCGCCACCTTCCTCGACCAACCTTCTCTTGGCCGCATTACCGTTGGATCCTCGCTGGCCCTGGCCCGCTGTCCTCGCGAAGTGTAGCGTATCTTTCCTGGCCTTGACGAACGACTCGACAACCTCCTCCAGGGACCAGTTGCTCCTTAACTTGAGCTCCTGGTCCGAAGCTCTGCAGAGAGGGCACTTGCCATCGTTGGACAAGGCGCGACGGATGCAGAGGGAGCAGAACGTGTGGCAGCATGATGTAAGCATGGGTGTCTTGAAGAAGTCCTTGCAGACCTGGCATCGCAAGGAGGCTTCGACTGCTGAGAGAGCGGGGAGGGGCGTGGAGAGCCAGTCCGTCGAGTCGGGGACGTCCTCAAAGTTGTCTGCCATAGTGGATGGCTGAAGATCTGCGACGGCGGTGAGGTTCGACTAAATTAAGATATGCTCAGCAGTGACCGAGGCTTTCGAGGTTGAAGGCCCTGGGAAAACCCTCTTTGGGCCTGGGCAGGGGATGTAGGTGAGGGCCTGGCACCAGCAAACAGATATATCCAGAGGCAAAGGCTTCAGTGAACTTTTGGAGAGAGATGGAAAAGTCGCGTCGAGAGTGGCGCGCTCAGTACCAGGGATTCAAAGACCGGGGGTGTAGGTACCTAGAGTTAGTGGATAACGTCACCAATCGCCCTTTCCTGAGTGGCTCCAGCAGAGGGGTGTGCACAGAAAATCAATTAAGAGAAAGAGTGGGTCGCGTCTTTGTCTTCCCAGACGCGTCTCCCTCACTATTACCTTATGCCTTCCACACAAGCAATCACTGTCATGATTTCTTGCAAAAGCTGTCAACTTCTTTACGCCAACTTCAATCACCGAACCTTTTGATCAATTCAAGGCCTTTTACAGAGCAGTGGGACCCCTCAACATGGATGAATATAAGAAGTACCTGGCGGACCAGATCCTCAGTGAGGAGAAAATTGTAAGCAGCAACTTTCCATGCTCAACGTTGAATTGGAGCTCACAAACCTCTCAGGTTACATATCGGAGCCTCAGCAGGGCACTCAAAGTCCATGTTAACACAGCAAAGGGGTCAGTTCTAGAAGCTTTGTTTCATTGATCCGACTACTTACCCGTCAATAGAATGCTCTATGACTTCCATCGGTCACAGAATGGAATGCGCCCTGGCACAATCCATGCAACCTACCTGATCTACGGTACTCGAATAGCACAGAAGGTCCAGGATGATGGTGATGTTGAGATGACCAGCTCTCCTCCTGACATCGAACCCGTTTCTGAAGACATTGTCACCCATTCCATGTCCCTTGTCCCTGGCGATCTCCTGAAAGGTACTTTGAACTGTATTTTCCCTTCCTGTTTTCTTGGATCACTAACGTTTCTCTAGAGACTCTTGCTACATATGAAGAAGTTTCCTCGTTCCACATATACAGTCTGGCGAGACTTCCCACCAGGGTTCAACCCGCCCACCCTCCCTGCATCTATCAACAGTGCTGACCAGTGCTTCAGGACTTGCAACTTCTAGCAGACGTTCATCAACAAATCAAGGAGCAGTCGACAAACGAAAGCGCATCCATGGCAGTGACATATGGCACCATCACCAACCCTAATGTCCGCAAACGCACCCGTCAGGGCAGGGGGCCAGTTCCTACACCCGTTGCTGCGGCACCGGTGGCCAAGCCTGTCAAGAAGGAAGTGGCACCATCTGCAGCCAAGCCCGCAGTCCCTGAAGTCAAAGCAGAAGAACCTGTCAAGCAGGAGTCGAGTGGGCCAACAAAAGACGCACCCTCGTCCACAGCGACAGCGAAGAAGGGCGCGGCGCCACCATCGTTGAAGAAAAGCGGCTCGTCTGGCATCTCGGGGATGTTTGCCAAAGCTGCAGCGAAAGCAGCATTGAAGCCGAAAGAGGCCCCGAAACCGACCCCCGTCGAGGCACCTGCATTATCTGATGATGGCGAGGACGACGACGACGATATTCCCGCCGCGAAGGTCCCAGCCAACTCTGGAAGAAAGTCACGAAGGGACCGCGAGGCTGAGCTGAAGATGATGATGGATGAGAGCGAGGAAGAGGAAGAGCCCGAAGAGAATGAGGAAGAGCCTTTGGACGAGCCGATGGACGAGGCTCTAGAGACAGAAGCGAAACACGAACCTGAGCCTGCGGAAGTCGTCTCTAGCGCGGGCGACGGCCGTCGGCGTGGCAAGCGGAGAGTCATGAAGAAGAAGCAGATCATGGACGATCAGGGTTACCTTGGTAGGTTCGGATGTCTTCACTTTCTAGTCTCGAAACTAACGTGGCTCCACCAGTTACTATTCAAGAGCCGTCTTGGGAAGAGTTCTCTGAAGATGAGGCGCCCCCGCCGCCCGCTAAGGTGGCGAAGACTTCATCTGCGCCAAGTTCGGGAAGCCAGGCTGCGAAGCCGAAGAAGCCTGCTCCCAAGGGACAGGGCAACATCATGTCATTCTTCTCCAAGAAATGATCACCTGGCTCATGCTTGGGTGAATAAATCAGAATGCTAAATTAAGCTGGCGCATGAACAACGGAAAGAAAGCGCCGTTTTATAGAACAACTCTCCCGTATGCTAGCTTTGAGACTCCGACGCCAGAGTTTCGCACTTATGCAAGATGCCACATGCCATTACCCGTAAATCTCCAACAGTCGCGAGAGAATTTGGCCTTCCAATAATGCTGGCATAAGATTCAGTCCCTATTGTATCCAGAACATAAGGGTTGAAATTGCGCTCGTAGGTTTCCTCCCATTATTACCGGTCGCCGGCCCGGGAGCGGCACGGAAGCCGGGGGCGCCCCGCGTCACCCCGCAGTGGGCCCGAGTCGCCAAGATGCGACGCTAAAACACGCAACCCCCGTCAGAGCTCCTGCAAGGGACCACAGTGACGCTGCCGGTTCCCCCCCAAAAGACGCAGCGGACACCTGGCTAGCAGGGAGCTCATCGTCTTATTTTCCGCGTCAATCCAACGTCGCACATCACTTCGTAACACGATCGCTTTTTTTGTTTTGCCTCGTTGACCCAACGCTCTCCCTGCAAGAGTTCCTCGGCGATTGATACCCATGCGGCCATAGACTCAATTTTGTTCATTTCCACCTTTCCTCCCATCACAGCGCTCGTAGCCATGTCCTTACGCACAGTATTCGACCTGCTGCTACCCCTGGGTCTGCTGGTCGGCCAGACCTACGCGGCGCAAGAACCTCTGACGGGTGAGGATCGGGAAGCATGTCCAAACTACGCGCAATACTCTACGTTTCCCCAGTGAGCTTGCTACTCTCAACTTGGCAATCTGCTTGAGATCACGAACCAATGCTAAGATAAGACTGTTTTACCAGTAAACCTCTGAGCGAAGGCCCCCTTGGCCTGCCCTACCAACGACCCGATCCTCGATGTCGAACCTTTCGTTCCGACGCCATCGAGAAGGTCATCGAAGACGTCACATCCAGAATGAAAGACCCTGACCTGGCCAGGCTCTTTGAGAACGCGTTCCCCTCGACGACTGACACCACTGTCAAGTTCCATACCGATGGCACCGATACTCGATTCGTCGATCTCAAGGGCCGTAGCATGCGCGACGAAGGCAAATGGGAGGGACCGCAGTCATTCATCATCACAGGCGACATTATTGCCGAGTGGCTGCGTGACAGCACGAACCAGTTATCGCCCTACCAAGCTTTGGCCAAGAAGGATCCAGCCATTTTCAAGCTGATCCTAGGAGCCATCAACACACAGGCGGAGTATGTCATTGAGTCGCCGTATTGCAACGCTTTCCAGCCCCCTCCGATTGCGAATCTGCAGCCGAGTCACAATGGACAGGACGACACCGTGCACCCCATCTACGAGCCCTCGTTTGTGTTTGAGTGCAAGTACGAGCTAGATTCTTTGGCGCATTTCCTCGCGCTGGGCAATGACTTTTACGAGCACACAGACTCTAAGGATTTCATGACGGGGAGGTGGTTTTTGGCTCTGGAGACGGTGCTTAACGTCTTGGAGGAACAGTCCCGCTCGACGTTCGACCCGGAGACGGGCCGCTTCCAGAAAAATGAGTACACCTTCCAGCGCAGGACGGACGCGGGTACCGAGACGCTAAACCTTAGGGGCGTCGGCAACCCCCTGAATAACGGCACGGGTCTCGTGAGGTCGGCCTTCCGGCCCAGCGATGACGCTACGATCCTCGGCTTCTTCATCCCAGCGAACGCCATGATGGCCGTGGAGCTGAAGCGCACGTCCCTCTTCTTGAAGGAGGCCGGCAAAGACGTTCTTTCGCAGACGGTGGACAAGTGGAGTCAAACCATAGCCGATGGCGTTTGGAACAACGGCATTGTGAAGCATGCCAAGTACGGAGACGTTTTCGCGTACGAGGTCGACGGGTACGGCTCCGCCATCCTCATGGATGATGCGAACTACCCGTCGCTCCTGGCACTTCCTCTCATGGGGTTCTTGCCTGCGGACGACCAGACGTACAAGAACACCAGGAGAATGCTCTTGGAGAAGACTGGCAATCCCTACTTTCTCGAGGGCGTTGCTTTCCGTGGAATCGGAGGTGAGCTTGACCCTTAATTGGTAGGGAATGAAAGAACGACAGCTGATCATGTCCAGGACCCCACATTGGTCTGTCTAACGCCTGGCCGATGAGTCTCTTAATCCAGGCACAGACATCCGAAAGTGACGAGGAAATCACCGAGTGCCTTGACTTGGTCCTGAGCTCTGCCAAGCTTGGGTTGGTCCACGAGAGTGTCGATGTCGGCCGCATCACCGCCTACACCCGTAAGTACCGCCACGTCGACCGTGGCAAACATACCGCTAACCACAGAATACAGGAAGCTGGTTTGCATGTAAGACACTCAAACACCCTTCCACTTGATGACCTTTTGAATTGTGATGCTGACCTGCAACAGGGGCCAACGGCGTCTTTGCCGAAACGATTTTGGACCTTGCCAAGCGGAAGCCTCATCTCATCTTTACTGACGCGAAGCCTTACAGCATCTGAATGAGGCGTTGACTCATCGGCATGGCGGTGTGGGATGGTTTCATCAGTTGATCATGACATGACGAGGCAATGGCGACTAGTGTCGAGTGATATCTTTGCTGCGCCAGTATAGTTGCGCCCCTTTCTGAAGCGACGGCAGATGATGAAAAAAAAAGTATTGCAACAAAAAAGGAAAATAACAGAACGCAGCGTCGAGGCTCGAATCTTGATACCTCAGCGAGGTAAGCATGACCGCGGGACGAGGCTATTAACTATCCGAGCTTTCCGGCCACTTTTGCGTGCGGCTGATCGTTATTCTGGATGGGTTGGGATTATATGCCAACCAACCTGCATTAAATAGATATCCAGGAGCTTCGTCTCTTGATGACCGTGAATAAATGTTTCTGGACATGTTACTCCGTCCCTTCAAATCATGATGCCAACCTCGGCGATGAAATTTCAATCTCGTGTTCCAAGATCCTCAAGAGACGACTTCTGTTACGGGATCTATGAATCTCTCTTCGTGAGATCGCCCATACCATGTGGTTCATTTTCATCCGCCGTTCCTGTATCTTCACCCTGCTGTGCTTACTGACTGGTTAAATGAGCCGAATGGAACAGGGTTGAGTATACAGCTCAGGCTTTGGATATTACAGCAAGCAACTCCTTATACCTGGAGTGGTTTTGGGCTTCATGAGGATCTCGAACAATTCTATTCACCCGCCTTTTTTGCACACTCTCTAGTACTTCAAAATTAAGTACTGTGCCTCGTATTCTCTTCCTGTCTTGGCGGTCTAGGACAGGCACAACGGGCTTTAGCCAAGCCAAGGTTCCCATTCAACCCCGAGCATACAAGCTCCAACACTCCTAGAGTTGTATAAAATATTTTCATCACGCTTTTTCTACTGAAAGAACTCGTAGTCCGAGGTTAAAGCCTCCATCTGAGCGGTAACAGAGGAACGTTTTGTCTGGAGAGCGACCCTACTCAAACCCACTCATTTGTAGTTCAATTAATCAAGCTTCAAACGAAGAGGTCCGCCGCAAGGGGGCGACTGGTTTTTGCTACCTTATTTAACATTGTCCACGTCCAGAGAGCTGGAGGATTTCCACTGGATACCATCCCTCATGGCCTTCAACACCGCTCCCAGCCTCTTGACCCCCTCCACGACATCCTCCTCCGGCTCCCACGAGAAACAAAGCCGAATCTCCCTATCAAACCTCGCAGCGTCCTCGTCCCCATGCACCTCAAACTGCGTACCGTGCCCAATGACCAAATTCTCCGTCTCCTTGGCTCTCACAGCAACCTCCCGACTCGACATACCCTCGGGCACACTAAACCACACAAAATACCCACCAAACACCCCCGCCCCCTTGAGCGCCGACCCGCGAACAACGACCCCGTCGCCCAGCGGCTTCTGCACGTACTCGGCAATGGCCGCCATCATAGCTCCGTGCCGCCTCGCGAGGGCGGGCCTCGTCTCCTCGTCTAGCTGCCTCTGCAGCGCCCCGCTCTCGAGTAGCTCCGAGACCATCACGGCCGCCAGCTGACTCGGCGCGCCGCCGCTGCACGTGGATCCCGTCTGCGACAGGCCGTACGCAAATGCGGGGCTTCCTTCCGCCCAGCCTGTCCGCATCCCGGGGGCGACGATCTTGCTAAAGGAGCCGTTGGAGACGGCGTTGCCAAAGGAGGCGTCGGGGACGCCGAGGGCGCGGTCAATGTCTACGAGGCGAGGGAGGCGCATTGCCGGGGTGTAGCCCGGTCCTGGGGCGGTGTCGAGGGGCCACTGGAGGAAGTCGTAGACGTCGTCGGCGATGAGGAGGGCGTCGTGTTGCCGGGCGAGGCGGACGAGTTCGTACCGGCGGGCTAGGGACATTGTTTTGCCTGTTGGGTTGGAGCAGGTTGGGACTAGGTAGATTACGTGGCGGTAGAGTTTTCTCTTTTTGGCTTCTTTGAAGTGCTGTGAGCGTTGTCAGCGCGATGCTCTCTCTCTAGTTCTCTCTCTAGTTCTCTCTCTAGTTCTCTCTCTTTCTCTCCCTCTTTCTCTCTTTCTTTCTCTCTCTCTCTCTAATTTTCTTTTCCTCTCTCACATTACCGATGGCATGTCATGACGCTCGCCGCGATGAGATGAAATAAATATGAAAAAGTGCTATCTGTACCAACACCAAAGTGAGAACTCACCTCATCGCCACCTTCGCCCGCGGCCTCGAGCCCCCTTTTCAAGTACTCGATATCAATGCCATCATCGTCCTCAGGGACCGCCTTCAGGCGCCCGTCAAAGCCGGCGTCAGCAAAGATGGGGCAGGCGAGAAAGTAGCACGGCGCCACCATCCAGACATTCTTCGTGTAGAGAGGGTCAGTAAAGGACTGGAGGATGCACGCGAGGTTCTGGCTCGCGCCGCCCGTGATGCAGATGCGCCGGACGTCGGGCGGGTGGTGGCCGGCGGTGGTGGTGGTGGTGGTTGTGGCGGCGGCATCATCCGCGGTGGTGGGAGGTGCGGGGTCGACGGCGGGGTAAAAGGCCGACAGCCAACGGGCGACGGACTCGCGCAGAGGCTGGTAGCCCGGGTCCGGGCCGTACTGGAGCCCCGGGACGTAGACGGCGGGGTCGGCGAGCGTCTTTACGGCGGCGGCGGAGAGGGCTGCTGCTGGGAGGAGGGAGGGCGAGGGCCAGCCTCGGAGGAGGTTGATTGGCTTCTTGTGCAAGGGGGCGTTCATTCTCGATGATGAGAAATTTGCCGACGCTGAACAGAATTGTCGGGATGGTGAGTACGTAGAAATGGAGGGGAGCTTGCGAGTATCTGTGATAGCCGCGCAAGTGAATGAAATGCAGGCGGAGTGTGTGAGGGGTCGGTGGTGGTGAGGTAATTGAGTGAGGTGCTTTGATATAGTCGTCACGCTATGCTTCATCACCTCCGCTCGAAGTTGGTTCACCGATGAAGCTGGAAAGGCGACCTTGATTTACTGCATGGAGTTGATTGCTTGTAGGTACATGTCGGAGTGAAGTTCGAGGTTGTCGCCTCCGAATGCGGAGGCATTAGAGAAAGGAAATGCGCTCGCCCCACGCAGGATTTCGCAATCACAGCAGCCCAAAGCCGGCAATATCAGCACCAATTCTTCGTTACAGAAACTCGTCACTCTAATTGAACATTGCCTTTGTTTTAGGGAGGGGCAAAATATAGGGGTATCATATGCTTCAAATACAATAGCTTTTCCAAACGCCTCATTGTCGAAACCACTTGTCTGAGCAATTGCCCTTTTACCATCCCCATGTTCTCGTGGAGGCTGTAAACACTGGCGGCTTCCATTGGATCTTGCTCGGATCGATCAGTCTCTTTTGCTTCACCTTCTGCTTCTCCCTCTGCTGGATCAGCTTTTCGGGAATCACAATCTTGTGCTCGCCCTTGTGATACACCTGCATCTTAAGCGCTTGTAACGTGTGCTCCACGTCCTGCGGAATTATGGCAAGGGCCGTCGAGATGGCTTCGATCGTAGTCTTCTCATCGCGCTCATTATAACCAACGATGAGGTCCAATATGTTTTCACCCCAATACTGCCGATAACTCAGCAGACCCAAATCAGAAAGCGGCTTTTCAGGCGAACCAAGCTTCCCCTCGATCCTTGACAATTCGTACGAGAATTGAATCAGCAACCGACCATACCCTTTGCGCTGGTATTGAGGTAGAGTCAGAATACAAGCAACGTTGTACCCGTCTGCGCTCTCTTTTTCCTTGGAAAAGTAACCAATAATGTGGCAACCCTTGTCGCTTCGACTTGTCATGACGTAGAACAAGAAGGGGTCGACATCATAGTATAGCGTTTTATGGTCAAGAAACATCTTGGACAAGAGACAGAGGTTCCGGCAGTATGTACGTTGCCGTCTACCGTCGATCTCGAAGAAGGAGACAGACTCGTCGCGATAAATTTCGTTGCCAGGAGGATGCTGCAAAGTACACTTGTGCCGATGCCTCACGAAGGACTTTTCATCGCCATAGTACCCGAGACAAAACTCGCAGATGAAAATAACATCTTCCTGGTTGAAGACCTCAGGGTACGGGGAAAAGTACCAGGGAAACAGATCGTGCTTTCCAAACTGGACCTTGGAAATATTTCGAATTCGGGAAATTTCGGCGGGGTTTTGCGTCATCGAGCCGTGTGTCCTAAGCTTCTCGATCTCGTCTTCGCGGCTGAAGCCGCTTAGTAAATCCTTCTTTTGGATTTCCTCCTCCAGGTCGATTTCCATCTCATCGCCCCCTGCTGCGGGAGTGGCTGTTGCATCGCCCGTCGCTGGAGTCTGGCTCTGGCTTTCCTCGGCCGTAGGCGTCATCTTGCGACTCTGCGATTCGACGAACTCTGTCCATGGGTGCGGCGTCGCGGCCTCTGACGGTGCCGACTGCTCCCGCTTAGAAGGTCTCTTTTGGGACTTCTTGGAGACCTTGTTCTTTGACGTAGCAACGCCTTTCTTCGTCTTAGGATCCTTAGGCTTGTCTTTGTCGGGTAACGGCCACTCGACATCTTGGTCGAAGTCGATTCGGATGGTAGGGACCCATTCGTCGAGACGCTTGTTGAAATTGTCAAAGTTGCAGTAGAATTGGCGACCGCTCTTCGTTTCCTTGATGCTGAGAATCTCGGCTCGGCGTGGAATACCTTCTTTCTTGACCATGGCGATGCATCCTGCTCTGCGCCCGATGGGTTAGTGAGAAGCCTCGAATGGGCCCGCCAGTCGGGATGGGTTGGAGGGGTGTTGAGATGACGAACCTAATAGTTTCCGGGGTGGCTCTTCCCTTTTGACGGGGTTCACTGGAGCCGACAGAGGCCTCGCCATTAGCGCCGTGTGCCGCCATGATGAATGCTCGATGTGGTGGTTGATATTTGATGGATGGTGACAGTTTGCGCCAGGCGGCTTGATGCCCTCGGTCGCAAAAGATGATCCAACTGCGGCGAGAAGGGGAAGGTGGTGTGGCAGAAAGCGCGATCTGCCCAAAGGCGGTGAAGAAATTGCCGTGAACCCCTGCTGCCGAGATGCGCTAATCAGGAGCCGACTCCACTCCTTTCGACCTCGATAATTGCATTTTTATTTTTCTTGCACTTCGGCTCTACTTCCAACGCCGACTTCACATACAAGAGATTCTTGTTCACCAAATTTTAATATTCCTGAGGATCTTGGGTCTTCTCATCTCACCGACATTTCAGTGGTGATATCTAAAACTGTCTCACGCAGCAGCAGAGAATATGGCCCCTGAGCTATCCTCAAATTGGAAGAAGCTTCAGGCACAACTCAAAGCGGCCGGCCCATCTTCTTCCGCAGCTGCACCAGCCAAGGCATCTGGAGGCGTCAAGAGAAAGGCAGACACCTCATCCTCAGACCACCAACAGTCCAAAAAAACTAAAATAAAATCGGACAAGAAGGAAATACCCAAGGCCGCTCCAAAGACCACAAAAGAGAAGAACGGACGCATGGGTGTTACTCAAAGCTCAAAGGTTGAAGTCGAACCCAAGGTCGGCCCGTCGCCATCACTCGCTCTTTGGGCCGAGGAGAATGATATCTCATCGGAAGCACTAGCCGAGGCCTACGGTCTCGGCTTGAAGAACAACTCCATGCTCGGATCCGAAAAGGACAAGATCAACTCTGGTCTCATAGAAGGGCTCGATGTCGGCAAGTACATCGCCATCGACTGCGAAATGGTAGGTGTCGGCGACGGAGGATATGAATCCGTTCTGGCTCGCGTGAGCATCGTCGACTTCCACGGACGCCAAGTATACGACTCATATGTGCGACCCCAAGAGCGGGTGACGGATTGGCGAAGTGCTGTCAGCGGGATCCTCCCCAAGCACATGAGATTCGCACGAGATTTTGACGACGTCCAGAGGGAAGTCGCCGCGCTTCTCAAAGATAGAATAGTCGTTGCCCACGACATAAAGCACGATTTGGATGTCCTGAAATTGAGTCATCCGAGTAAAGATATTCGCGATACAGCCAAACACCCAGCGTTTCGGCAGTACAGCAACGGCGGAAAGCCAGCACTGAGGAGACTCGCGGAGGAGTTACTCAAGGTCACCATCCAAGGCGGTGCTCATTCGAGTATCGAAGATGCGCGGGTGACGATGCTGTTATTCAGGAAACACAAGTCCGCATTCGATGTTGATCACGCCAACCGCTTTCCTCGATTTGGAGGCGCTTCGACGAATTCGAAACCAAAGTCTAATAAGTCCAAGAAAAAGAAATGAGTCTTTATCCTCTACGCTGCTTAGACTCATCAAGATCCGGGCCTCACACGACACAAGTCTTCACAATTATGACACTGTCCCTTTCGGGTGGACCTGTCAACCCAGGAACCGCACTTGTTCCGTCAAGACTTAAATGTCCACTGTCTTCACAGCGGAATGCCTTCCATCAACTCCAGTGCCCCCTCTCGCCCAACAGTTATTATTACGTCGCCAAGCGTCTTTGTTCGGAATCCGGCTTCGCAGTATGTGAAGTAGTACTGCATAACAATTAGCTTAGAAAAACCAAGAGGAATAGATGGTATGTGTCTTACCTCCCACTTCCTTCTAAATACATCTATCTCTTCTTCAGTCATGTCATCATGCTCACGTTTTAACGCTGGACGAATCTTTGCGTCAAAGTTGCGGAGGAATTCTTCTTTCCACAGCCTCAGAGTTTTTGAGTAGTGGCCCCCAATGTTCTCAACCTTTTCGACAATGAGAGTCCCCTTGGACTCTTTACTGATGTGGTTCAGCAGCTGAGTGATCGATGGTAGATACCCTCCGGGGAAGATGTAGTGGTTGATGAAGCTGGAGACTGTCAGCACCCGTTTTTCTTCTCATAGCCGCATCACGACTTACTCTTCGCCTTTGGAATACGCCTCATGACGACCCTCGGGCATGGTAATGCACTGGAAGACTGCGATACCCCCATCCCTCTTCAACAATCTATCCATTTGCGCGAAATACGTAGCCAGGAATTCCTGGCCGACGGCTTCCAACATCTCAATTGACACAATCTTGTCAAACGGCCTGCCTGGTGTCTCTAATTCTCGGTAGTCCGTGAGCTTGACGTCGATGCGGTCGGAGAAGCCCGCGGCTTCGATGCGCTCCTCCGCGAGCGCCTTTTGTTCCTTGGAGAGCGTCAAGCTCGTGACGCGGCAGCCCGTCTTCTTGACCGCCTCGATCGCAAAGGAGCCCCAGCCCGTTCCGATTTCCAGGACGTGATCCGAGGGCTTGATGTGAGCGCCGTCGATGAAGCGGTGCAACTTGGTCATTTGCGCCTCCTCCAGTGTTTCTTCTGGCTCGCTCGGGTCGCTGTGAGTTTTCCAAATGGGGCATGAATACGTCATGTCTGGCGACAGGAATGCGGCGAACATGTCGTTGCTGATATCGTAATGCGCCGAGATATTGAGGAGCGCGTTTGACAGGGTGTTGGTGGTTCGTGCCAGGCTTGAGACCGCGGTGGACAAGCTCGATATCCAGGTGGTTCCATTTCCCATTTCTTCCCGGTTAACGATGAAGAGCTGTGGTCAAGTCAAGTTAGCCACAGTACAAGGTGGTCAAGACAATGAGAGTCGTCTGCGTGTACTGACCTGAAAGAACGCGGTCAAGTCTTTGCATTCGATCTCTCCCAGCATGTACGATTCCGCAAAACCCATGTCGGCGAACAAGAACAGGCGCATCCAAAAGGCATCGCTCTTGACGACCAGCTCCACCCGGGGCACCGCATCGGCGCGGCGGGGAACGTGGTCGCCATTGGTGAGGTTCTCGTTGTACTTTGCGCCCAGCTTCTGGCCAAACACCCTCCGGAACTCGGCGGGCTCATCGACGAGCAGGAGGGTGCCGCGCTCAATCTTGGAAAATACCGAGAGGATGGCGGGCTTGGCGATGGAGAGGGCCGGTCCCCAGGTCAAACTGCCGACGGCGCCTCTCACCAGCTCGGTGCCGCGGTACAGAGGCTGGGCGACGGCCGCCGGGACCAGCGAGGGCAGCTTGGGCATGACTGCGCGCGAAGGGACGTGGGTACGCGAGAGAGGTAGAAAGTCGGGGAAACTTGTTTATGGTACGAGACACGAAAAAGCCCAATGGCTTTGTGTAAGGGACTGGTACTGGCGCAGTTCAACCAACGGTCAATTGAGTTGAGCAAGCCGCCGGAGAACCTAAAACCGAAGCTCTCAAGGTAGTTCACTGGGATGCTGCATCGGCTTTCTCTCTCTCTTTCTCTTTCTCGAAGATGGAGGGGGGCAACTGGATGGGTGGATGGGTGGGAGGAGGGGTGGAATGCGAAGGTTAACAGGAACAGGACATGTTCGCATCTGAGACCACCAGCACGGGCGGGACGATCGTTTTATTGCAAAGCCAGTCAATGTCACTCCAACATGTCAAGCCGAAGCTAAGTGTGACTTGCGTGCCGGGGGTTAGGTAGTGTGTCTTGAAGGGGAACTGGCCGGCACATAAATTTGCCATCTCTCCACGGATGCAGAGAAGGAGGAAAGCGCGTGCTTATTGTCTCGCCCATCGGTACCGTCGCAAGCCCGAGGGTCGAAAATGGGGACGAGGGAGGGTCCAAACCAGGATAGGCATGGGTGCGAGAGTGGGTGTGGCCAGGGTAGCTCAGACGGGAATCACTCGGGAGGGGCAGAGGCCTTGGCTATGGCTTGTTTCATTGAGGAAATCGAACATCTCGAGGGGGGGAAAGTTGACGATCTCATCGGAACCTGGTGTTCGTCGATGGCCTGGTGAGCAGTCCTGGAGTTCTGAGCTGAACTTGGGGTTGATATTGTGCAGCGGCTCTTGGCGTCTCTACCTACTTGGATTATCGATTGCGGTCGCATTGTGCTGGCTGTAAGACAATTATGACAGCGGCTGGCTGCTGACAACGAATTCCCCAACAAATTTCTTAGGGCAGGGCCACCAAAGGAATGATGTCAGCCTCCTACGGAGGAACGGCGAGCCGAACGCATGGCAACACATGGCAACGCATGTGCGCGAGCTTGTGGGAGTGTGCCCGGCAAACTCATTCGTCGACGAGGCGTGTAGTGGTGAAGAACCATCCTAGTTTTACCGCGTATCAATTACTACCTACTACCTTGCCTCACAGGCCAGTGCGCCGCCGGACCGTCCGGCCACGTTCAGCCTCGAACTGTTTTAGTCTCGCTGCTTGGGATAGTTGAGAACAAAAGAAGCACGAGCTGCAGGTTTCGAGAAGCCGCCGGGATTCGTCCCGGCTGGCAAAGCCCGGGCGAACGAAACATCTAGTTTAGCGTGTGGTTGACGATTCAGGTAGCTCTTCATCAGACGACGGGGGTTTTCATCTTCAAGCGCGCTGGCCTGTGAGAATAAGAGTCCACCTTTGCTTTTGGAAAAGCTCTGTGCAGGATGGTGTACAGAAGAGTACGGCTGCCCCGAAGATACGGTCTGCTCGCCTTCGAAGAATGACACTTATTATACAGAACCATCTGTGCAGCCAGAGTTAGAATGACAGCCCCTGGCCGGGTCCCTGCATCCTTTGATGAGGGAGAAGGGGCTCTATTATGGCAAGGTTTAACAGCATTTCCTTTCCCACTTCCCACCACCAATGTATGCATTTCCCGCGTCGGCTGGGTACGGTGTGCCAAAATGCTGTTTCTCCGATGGACTCAGACACCCCATGACTAGGGTAAATCAGGGCTGGCGGATAGGTAGCCTGAGCCTTGAACTCAGACGCTAATCCAACCGTCAACGACATAGTCGTTGTACGAACTACCCGTACTGAGGAAAGTCTGTTCTGACAGATTCATGTCCGATCCAGCGTTGTGGCTCTCGATGAGCAGGCTTTCCACGGTTCAATGTGTCATTGAAATACTGTGTGGTGTAAAAGAAAAACGAATCAAAAGGGGACCATTCTGCCCGATTTGGGCATTCCCCGGTTTGGCAACACAAGCCCCCAGCTTGCTGACCAGCTTGCTGGGGTCCCTTTGTTGCTTTGGAGTCTGCGGAGCTTTTACTGGAAATTCTCGAAAATCGACTGGGGTGTTTTGATATCAATGACATCAAGACTCTCCCCCCCAACGCCGCTAACTGGTTGCCGACAACCGCAGCTACGGTTTCCGAATCCAAATCCATGACTCCCTGGCGGCCACGATGCAAGAAAGACGGACCGTTCGGATAGAGGAGACGGACAAGATGGACTTTCCTGATGCCGTAGGACGGCGGAACCTGGAGGGGGGCGCAATGGCTGGGGAGCATGGGAATGGGAATGAAGGACGGGATTTCCAGAGTGTTTAAACTTTGGGCATCCGGTTGCCTTAGAGTTGACACGTATTTGTCGCAGGACACCCAACCCGCCGGTCTTAGAGTCGTCCCTATCCCGCAGGATGCCACGATGCACGTCTAGTCCCAGCGGTCCGTCTGACTAGACATGTAGGAAGACGCATGGGGGGTTGGGAGGTCCACGGCGATTGGGCAAGTTCCTTAGTCTTTTGTCTTGGAGTGTTAGCGCTGCGCTGCATGTCTCTCACCAGCGCTCACCAGCGCGACATTAACTTGGCAACTGTGTCACTGCGGTTGTCCACACTTGTCTCTGTCTGAGGACTGCCACCCATTGATTGCCTATCTTTGCGTCCAGCCTCTCAGCATTGAGCAGCACATCAGCCGCAGCCCCTGACGATGAATGCCTCGATGGTTGAAACAGTGGGAAGGGACAACAAGAACATAGACCCGTAGGGCGTGAGGGTGGGGGCCCGTGCACCGCGGGAGCCAAGACAATTTACCTACCTTATCGATAAAGATGAGCTTATCGTACCGAATGCCTTATCGCCCATCCGTACCTTACCTTATCTGAACTCGCGTCTAAGCGTTCGGGACGCGTCTTCGTAAAGTCGAGTGAGGTGAGTAGCTGAACAGAAGTCCATCGACCCCTCCACGACAAGTAGCGGTTTGCAGGCCTACCACACACCTCAGCCCATTATGTCAAAGGCAATTCTCTCCATTCAGTCCAACGACTCTGCAAAGACCAACAAGGCAACCGTCAACCTTCTGCCTTGTCGAATCCATCACGATGGACCCGTCGGCGATGCCAGTACATTTTGGAACCCTACCAAGTCACAAGGTGCGACCTATGATGGAAGTTCCAAACATTATGATCCTTGAAACTGACCTCCAAATCGCTAGATGGGGAAACAGTAGCATACTTCCGCGGGAGGAAGCTTCACGGCACGACGGTCAAGTTGCCGGAACAATATCGAGGCGTGGTTATGGAGAGGAGCGACAAGGTGGAGACTCGGCAGCTCGAAGGAGAGAGCGAAGAGGCTGAGGGCGACCTCGTCGAGCTAGGTATCATGGACGTCAAGGCAGGGTTTGACGAGATGGCCATCTGGGGACACGAGTCGAGTGCAGAGGCGGCGTCTGATCCGTACGTACGGAGTATAGAGGAATGGCTTGACGTGGCCGGGTCGGTAAGCAGTCCCACAATTCGCAGTGCAATGTTCCTAACTGACTGTCCATGAAAAAATAGATACATTCTTATTCTCCGGAAGATACCAAGACTGGTGCGTAGACAGTGGACGAGCAGGCATGATTTGCGGCTTGGGAATTTTCAACGTCGTACGAATGTTCTTCCAGAACGGTGCAAAGTAAGGAAGCAATAGCATAGTTAAGGCGTTATGGACCATTTTAAAACAGCAATGATACGATTCAAATATTCCAGTTCCAGTGGTTTGTCAAAACACTCGCTTCGCCTTCAATGGCAATGGGTACCAAATGCAAGGGGAGCGAGTGCATGATACAGACTCGGCGAAGTGTTTCGCAAAGAATTGGCGGCATGGGGGTTTCTGTCCAGAAAGAGACTAGCGTCGAATGCACTCAATTAAAGCCGTCGCGACGGCAACGCGTTCCGACGCGACTGCTGCCCCTCACGCGTCACAATCAATTAAGACCCCTGAGCAAGTCTCCGCCTCCCAATGCGAAAAAGGATCCATCGCATCCCACCACCCAAAATCCCACCTCCACCAAAAAACAACATCCCGCATCTCCGCCTAGCAACCACCGCTTGCGCACATCTAAGCCATTGTTGACTCGCAACTCCCGAACGAAGAGACTTAGCAGTCGTAATTGACACGACATTAACTATGGCTCCCTCCAGCGACGCCGGCCTCCTGATGTCGGACGCCCCGTCCCGTTCGGCGGCGACCCCTAAACGCTCCTTCATGCCATCCTCCTCCGTCGGTGGCAGACCAAGAGCGCCGCCGTCCGAAAGCATGGGCGCCCAGAGCGAAGATGAGGCCGAGGGCTTCGCCGACGACCAGGTCCCTCGTGGATCAAGAATACCGGACGCTGCGAACATTCCCCGCGTGGAGGACAGAATTGGCCTCATGGTTCAGGATCATTTTGAGACCTTTATCGAAACGTACGTCGCATCTCTGTCTTCTCTTGGATTCACTAGGCATGTAATCTGACGGCAGAGCTTTGTAGATTCGTCGAAGAACCGAATCCTTCAGCCCCGCCGGCATCCAGCGCTGTTACAACAGACAAGTATTATGTCGCCCAGATCCACGGCATGAGGTCATACCAGCTTTCAACGTTCTATGTCGACTTCAAGCACCTGACTACATGGACTAATGGCGAGCTGGGTGATGGTATCATGCGTGGATACTACCGCTTCCTTCCCTTTCTCACGGCTGCCCTGCACAACATGATTGCCAAGTACGAGCCGCAGTACTTCCGCGAACATAGGCAACCAACATCCTCTAGCAACCCGACCAACTCGGCCGCAAGCCAGCTTGGCTCTGCAAGCCAAACAGATATGGGTGAAAAGACGGCCAACCAGCAGACGGACAAGCTTTTCACCATCGCATTCTACAACATGCCCTTGATCTCGAGAGTGCGCAGTCTCAGATCGACCAACATTGGCCAGCTGCTCTCCATCTCCGGCACCGTCACGCGAACGTCAGAAGTCCGCCCTGAGCTTTCACTGGGCACGTTTGTCTGCGAGGCCTGCAGGACGGTTGTTCCCAACGTTGAGCAGACTTTCAGATACACAGAACCCACGCAATGCCCCAATATGACTTGCCAGAACCGCCAGGCTTGGCAACTCGATATCCGTCACAGCACGTTTGTCGACTGGCAGAAGGTGCGCATCCAAGAAAACAGCTCTGAAATTCCCACGGGAAGCATGCCGAGAACAATGGACGTCATCCTGCGTGGAGAGATTGTGGATCGGGCCAAGGCCGGAGAAAAGTGCATTTTCACGGGTGCGCTCATCGTCGTGCCAGACGTCAGCCAAATGGGCCTGCCTGGCTTGCGGCCAAGTGCCGTTCGAGACGATAATCGATCTGGTGGTGCTGATGCTGGCGGCTCTGGTGTCACTGGTCTCAAGGCTCTCGGCGTTCGCGATCTGACCTACCGCATGGCCTTCCTAGCGTGTATGGTCACTCCTGACACCTCAAATCCAGGCCAGGCAGCGAGCGGGCAGGTTGCAGATGTCATCAGCTCTTTGACACAAAATAACACGAGCGACGCCTCGGAATCAGTTGAGGATGTTCAAGCTGCGATCGTCTCCACCTGGAACCACGCCGAGATTGAAGAGCTCCGCCAGATCGTACGCATCGATAACCTTCTCGATCGCTTGGTAAACTCCATAGCGCCAACAGTCTACGGCCATGCCACGATCAAGAAGGGTATCCTGCTTCAGCTGTTGTCTGGTGTGCATAAAACCACTGCCGAGGGTATGGAGCTGAGAGGTGACATCAACATTTGCATCGTCGGCGACCCCTCCACATCCAAGTCTCAGTTCCTCAAATACGTCTGCGGCTTCGCACCCCGTGCCGTCTACACCAGTGGTAAGGCTTCTTCTGCCGCTGGTCTCACTGCTGCTGTGGTCAAGGACGAGGAGACGGGAGACTTCACTATCGAGGCTGGTGCCCTGATGTTGGCAGACAATGGTATTTGCGCCATTGACGAGTTCGACAAGATGGATATTGCAGACCAAGTCGCCATTCACGAAGCCATGGAGCAACAGACAATCTCTATCGCCAAGGCTGGTATCCAGGCCACCCTCAACGCCCGCACCTCCATCCTCGCCGCCGCTAACCCTGTTGGCGGCCGGTACAATCGCAAGACGACCCTTCGCGCCAACATCAACATGAGTGCTCCCATCATGTCCCGTTTCGACCTCTTCTTTGTCGTGCTTGACGAGTGTAATGAAGCCACGGACCGACATCTTGCCGAGCACATTGTCGGAATTCACCAGCTCCGCGACGAAGCCATCGAGCCCGAGTTCAGCACTGAGACAATCCAGCGGTACATTCGCTTCGCTCGCGCCTTCCGTCCCGAGTTCACTCCGGAAGCCAAGGAATTCCTTGTCGAAAAGTACAAAGAGCTCCGCGCCGACGACGCGCAGGGTGGCATCGGCAAGAACTCATATCGTATCACTGTCCGTCAACTGGAGAGTATGATTCGCCTGTCCGAGGCCATCGCCAAAGGCAACTGCACAGAAGACATTACTCCTGAATATGTCGGCCAGGCTTTCGACTTGCTCAGGCAAAGTATCATCTCTGTTGAGCACGACGACGTCGACGTCGATGACGAGGAGGTGCCCGAGGAAGGCGCGGCGCTCCTTCGCGCGGCGTCTGAAGCGGCCGGCCAGTCGGTTGAGGACGAAATGGCTGTCGACAGGCCAGAGGGCACGCCCGCGGTACCGGCCAGGGTCAAGCAAACGATCACATTCGAGAAGTACTCGAGCATGGTCAACTTGATTGTCGAGCACGTCAACGAAGCCGAGGCCGAGAACGGTGAGGGCGTTGAGGGCGAGGCGCTTGTCGAATGGTACTTGGAGCAGAAGGAGAGCGAGCTCAACAGCGTCGAGGAGCACGACTCCGAGAAGGCGTTGGCGAAGAAGGTCCTCAAGAGGATGGTCAAGGTATGTGGCATTCCCAAGTCAGACGCTTCTTCACGGGAATCAAGACTAATCCAGAATTTTAGGAGAACATCCTCATGGCTGTTCGCGGCCAAGGCCTGGCAGACGACGACGAGGCTGACGAGGGCGCTTCTGCACCGGCGGAGCCGGCACCTATCGTTTACGTGTTGCATCCCAACTGTGCTGTTGAGGAGTTTTGAGTTTTAGGTCGTTTATAGACTGTGTGTGTGTGTGTCTTGACTGAAACGATTTTGATGAGAGGGGGAAAAGCTGAAAACATTGTCTGCGACATTTTGGACTTTTTGTGAACCTTGGAGGGAAAGGGTTGTAGAGCTTGATTCATTTTTGTTCAGCTCGGGAGTTGAGGCGTTTGTGGCCGGTAGAGTAGGCCTGGCTTGTCGAAGGTGGCACGAAGATGTAGAAAAAGAAATCCGAATCATGAGATCGTGTTAATCATCCAATACATACATGCTTCCGAAACCGTGTACACGTTGACCAGTCAACATTCATTTTGAATGCCAAATATGTTAGCCGCCGGCATGGGTCGCCGTGATACCGACGACGTGAAGACGAGGGGCACACTGATAAAAGCCAACGTTTGCATGCCAAGGTGTACATAATCATAATGGATTGGATTCGTGCTGATGCATCATAAGATCCCTGCTTCGATAGCATAGTTTCCTCAAGTAAAGGCGCAAGGTTGGAAGTTTTGTATTCTGCGTAGTTGATCTCGCGCTCCAAGTAAGTGATCGGGAGAAGCGACATGCTGGGCGGGCTCGCTCGCCGGAAGTGCCTTTTTTCTATTTCTCATCGCGACCATCTAGACACAAGCATAGATAGGAGCACGTCACTGCATGTAAGATGCGTCACCCTGATAACGCCTTGCTCTTCCTAAACTTGAGTATCGCTGTGTAACCCAGGTGTATATTTCCACGCCACGACGACGAGGCTGGATCTTTTGGAGAAGTCTATTAAGGAGCTTCAAAACTTTCTATTGAAATATAAAAATGGACTAAATGATCACCTGAACAACATCTATTTAGTTGAACAATTCCTTAAATTTTAAATACAAAAGTAGGTTATGAGATTGCGTTAAGTATTCTACTTGGGTTCATTATTAAGACCGTGTGATCCTTCCAAATCTGACCCGTAGGTTCTATACCAGGGCTCTTAACTCTTCTGTATAGCTCTACATATTGTCTTAGATAGGAAGACTACCAAGAGCCAAGTTGTGGTAGGCGAGATCGTCGAAACCGTGCAGAGGTGGGAAAGATTGTGGCCAAATTGATGGAGCCCGCCAACCACCACACCTTGTCCCACACCAGTACGCGACCCAGCTGGGTGAAGAGCATCTTGAGAATACCGCTGGAAACCCCGACCACAGTATCGGCCTTGCGGCTAGTATTAGGCACGGGCGATATTGGCTCGGTAGAAGACAATCACTGCTATCAGGAGGTAGCTGATTGTGAGGGTGACCATGAGAGTGAGAGACGATTAGCGAAAGCCGGGAAATCAACGATAAATAAAGACAGGTTCCGCCCTTCCATCTCTAGGTGTGGCCGTCCCTAGGTTATTCAAGTGTATGTCCTAGCGACGGCTATTCGGGTAGGTTTGCTTTAGTTAGGCTTAACTTGAGTTTAAGCCAAAAGATTTCGACATGGTCATCGGGACTCTGCGGGAGTCTGATTTTGCTCTCGGAGTTTGAAATTCGCGGGCCAGTGCCAGAGGGCCCTGCGTGGAATATCGCTCCCTGAGTTTGATAGTGGAATTTACTTAACAGGTACAGGAGAGAAGAGGAGGGAATTGTTGGCAGTAGTAAGGCTCTCTAGCCTCTCGCAGATTTTGGTTGGCCGCTGCTACTCAAAGCATTCAATGTCCATCGTCACGTGCAGTTACGCTAGTTGAGAACGTCGCGATACATGAAGTGAAGGAGAATGCCCTCTGGTATTATTGTTTCAAGGGAAATAATACCGCCCGTAGTAGATTTCAACTGCGAGAAGGAGGGCAGATTCAGGCGTCAAAGCCCGAGAGCCTCTCGAGGATTACTTGCGCTATTATTCCTAGTTCGACTGTCCCTGCTCGTCTCGGCCGACGAGGACTTCTAATGGACTCGTGAATTACGATTATATTTATAAGTGTGTATGTAACGACCAAGAACTGTCTTCATTGCCCAGTTTATTTCCCATGAATGGAACAGGTCCAGACTGTGGTTGATCTCTTGTCCTCTGTCTAGTCCCCAACATGAGGCAAAGTCCCGTAACTGAAAGTTGGAAATCGTCTTCGAACAAAATCTTCTGTGATTGATCGCCGAGGCTGGAAAGGGGGATGACGATGATAGAAGAGAACTATTGGTCTTTTACATGACTGTTCCAATGGGAGCCCGTCATCGAGGCAGATTGACAAAGTTGTACTAATAAAATGGCAGCATATATAAGGCATGATTCAGAGACAAGTCTGTTGTTAAAGAAAAGAAAAAAAAACTATTCAAGGGTATTAGAACTACACTGGTGGGTACGACGATGACCCATTCGGACTGGACGGTCCCGCCGACTGCTCCTTGTTCGTGCTCAAAAACAAAATGTCTCTGAGCTTCCTCTTGGAATCGCCCGGCCTTTCATGGCCGTGGTGTAACGGGGTCCCGAGCCCGACCAGCCGTAGGAATTTGGGAACAACATGTCGCCAAACCTGGCGGGTGGCGGGGAGGCACGCGACAATGACGCTGACGGAGAGCTCAATGTAGGACCACTTGTGGAGAAAGAAGGCGTCATCTGTTTTTTTGAGGAGAATTAGCATCAAAAGACTAATAGATGGTTGTATGCTTGTGTCTGTCTTACAGGTAGGATCTTGGAATCCTCTGAGATTGAGCAAGACGCTTAGGCGAATAGCGCTGACAACGGTGATGCTGTGGAGAGTTAGAATGTTAGCAAAAATCTCTGAGAAAGCCAAAAACGTATAGATGACTCCTTCAAAGTCCAAAGCAAGGGCGGGAGGGGAGGAGGGTTGTTAGTGAGGAAAGAAACACAGTCATCACTCACAAAATACCCAGCCCAAACATAACCACAATCTCAATCTTTTGCCTCTTCCTCATATTGAGCCACACCACCTGCGTGATGGGTAGGCCCATCAACCACACATCGAGCACAATGTTGATGACGGCATGCGTCATGATCATGGCATAGATGTTGACACAATAGCCCGGGTGTCGGCCGTCCCAGCCTTCCCAGGAGTTCTTCAAGGGCTGGCACTGGTTTAGGTTGGCAACGGTGAAGGCGAGGCAGAAGAGCAGGTTGAAGGCTTGGGTGCACCACAGGACGCGGTTGAAGGTGCAGCTGACAATGCTGAAGACGCGGGTATAGAAGAAGAGGATAGAGGCCTTTAGGGCGGAGATGCTGAGGGTGTAGATTATTTCGTAGGCGAAGAATACCTGGTAGGGTGGGAGGTGAGCTTCTTCTTGTTTTTCCTTATTTATTTTTCTTTCTCTCTTTTTGGAAACGGCTATCAGGGGCTGTTGGGCTGTGCCGTGGTCGGTGGGGTGTCTTACCTGCATGAACCGAGTAATCTCGTCGTAAGTGAGAGTCCAGATGTCACGACCGATGCCTAGTTCGTACCCTACATCCTGTCAGATAAAGGAACGGCTTGAGAAAAGCGTCATATGCGAAGGCGTACCTATGAACTTGGAGATGGCGAAAGAGGTGGTACAGGCCTGGAAGAAGATTATCAGCGAGCCATCTTCAGGTCAAAGTTGGCAAGCTTTTGCCAAGGGTGCTGAGCTCACATATCCCAAGATTAGCGTGAAATCGTCGAGCCCCCAGGTCGATAGCCTCAGAAACTTGGAAAGCAGCCGAGCCAGGAAGAAGATGGCCGTGACTACCACCAGCGGAGTTATTTCGAGTGCTGATCCTGTTTGGTGGTGACTTGGATACCCGCACGCGGTCATTGACATGTTCTTGATGACTAGAAAAACACCCGTCAGCCCCAACCATTTTGTATTACTCAAGATGATGATGCGATGGTGTGTGGGCCATGCTCCTGGTAAGAAGCACGATGCCAAAGCGGTGACGTATAATTCTATTCCATGAAAACGTTGGGAATGGATGTATAGAGAAGGGGTGAGGATATATCTCACGTAATGACTGTTCCAAGTCACAGACCGCAGGTATACAGACGCTGAGGGTATCAATGACAATCTGATCATGACACAAACACGATGCCGTCAAGTTCGCGGCGGCACACGTGGTGATGTTGATAACCTGCGACAGACACGGTATCTAGACACCAATATTATGAGCATCAGTGACGTATGACATCTTTCCCCCCCCTTCAATAGCCACGAAAAAGGTATTACTCACGGCACAACCCGGCAGGCCATCCGCCAACTGAAGCGCCATCGATATGACAGGTCTGGATGCGAACACACGACATAAACCAAGACCGTTGTATAGGAGCAAATATTTGCAGCGGTGTGTCGTCGCTCAAGGAGGCATTACGAAAGATCCGATCGTGGCATTCTTCTCTTGTTTTTTCTTTCTTTCTTGGCTGTTTCTTCGTTCTCGCGGTTCCGCAGAGAGGAGAAGGGGGGGGAAAAAAAAGAAAGGGAAAGACAAGGGAATCCAGCCCTTGAGGTAACCCTGGGGATGTCGCCCTCGCGGGGGGTGTTTAAACTGAGCTTATGTCTCATGGTAGAGAGTAAATCTTTCCTGATTGCGACACATGGATCAAAGGAAGCAATTCGCGGCTAACTGGTGATTGAGGACGGGCCTAGCCCCCCGCCAGGCACGGTGGCTGACCCGTTTGCGGCCTGTGAAGAGAAACATCGATTGCAATTTCACACTTGTTGAGCGAAGCAAGCATTACACCTGTTTGAGACAAAACCTCACAAGCTTGACAATGTCTGGGAAAAAGAGGAAAAAACAAGGAGAATAAAAACGAGGTTGCGGAACCAGCCAAGCATGCATCACCGTCTTTTCGTTGGTAGGTGCGTGGAGAAGTGGAGTATGGGCCCGAGAAGTCGGGTTCGTCCTAACATGGGCCCCCCTTCTCCACCCCTCCCGAGAAGTCTTGGCGTCTTGAGTTTCTTGTCTTCTCTTTCGTGATTATAGTGAACTATAGTATTTTGTGATTACATGTATCAATAAGATGGCCAACCTAGGTTCCCGTAAAAGAAATGCCATATACCGTCCGCATCGCAAGGATAATCCCAAGGTGATGTTTGTCGTGTTGCCCGTTTCGCTTCAAGTCCAATCCCAACTTGGCAGACATCTATCTCATCAAGAGGGCAATATAGATAAGGTAGACACCATCCATTGCCAGTCACTCTGTTCAACCCAAGGCCTGAATGACAACAGCACAAAGTCCAGAAGATGGCCATTTTGAATGCATCCACCGAACCTCCACAAGGTCGAGGAAACCCACTTCATAAAGGCAGCCCCGCAACGAGTTTAACGTCGGCCGCCGCCGCCACCGCCCACGCCGCCCACCTCATGAACGATTGGACCCTCCGCCTCAAGCCACACGCCTCATTCAAACCACGTCTCCTCAGGAAAGGTCCTCGCTGACATGAAAGGCGAGAGAGCTTACCTCCACGACCAATGACGATTCTCCCACATCCGAGTCCTGTCCCCCGTTCTCCAATGACCCTACCTTACTTCAAGTCTCAAGTCTCAGCCTCCACGAGCCTCTACGAGATCCTTTCATCATTACATTTCCCCCGTGTGTGCTGCGCCCTGTTCCCCTTCATAGTCTGCGACAAATTGGCTCCGATTTGCAAGGCTGGTGAAAAAGCTCAGCGGGTGTGTGTGCGGAAAGATGGAAAAGCTTTCGCAGTGTCACCCACATGTTCCAGTCACAAGCTGAGACGCAATGCTACGCAAAGTCGTTGGTGACATGTAGTAGATAACCCAAAGTCACACTACCTTAGCCCAGACTCCAAGATTACGAAATCAACTCGTCTCACATCTCACGTCAGCTCGACGGCTTTACAGCAATCGCAACAACACACAGTCAAAAAACTTTACGGCACGGTAGGAATGGAGTTTTAATCATTTGTTTGTGTATTTTCTGAACTGCAATGACCCTGGACACCAACTGCCCACAAGCAGTTACTGTCCCTCAGCTTGCAGTGACCGAGTAAATGCTTGCTTAAAAGACAATCATCCATTTCCGAGTCCTGTAATCTCACCTCCTTTGCACATCAGGTGTTGTAAAAGACCGCGTTTCCCCCCATACTCCCCGGACACCCGCCAACCTTCCTTTGACCTCCCGGCCGTTCGTCATGCGTGTCATGGTTATGAATCATACGAAGAAACACCGGACCTTGGTCAACATGACCAGTGTTTCCCCCTCTGACCTAGATAGCCGGGCCAGGGGTTCTCCTTGTCGGTTTGGAAGCGTTACTCAGTGGGAGGAAGATGGAGCTCGTGTGTCGTGAGAGTGGAAGAGAAGAAAATCACAAAAAGACTTCGCTCTCGCTTCCACCCGCCCTGTTTGCCCGCGTCTTAGCCAGGGTTTCCGGCCGATCAAGCTCATATACCGTCCAAGGCGATTCGATCGAGTCAGGATCCGTAAAGTCTGAAAAACGCAAAGCGCTCTCTGCGAAAATGATCAAAGTTTTCGAGATGGTACACACTGCCTACCGCTCGAGGCGGAGCAGTTTGAGCATGATACAGTTTCAGCATGGGGAACAATATTTGTACGGTGTTCGTCGGCCGTTATTCCTGCCGGCTGCGATTGGTAGTGTATGCTAACCACCACAAGTCAACAATGTTGTGTAGGGTTTGAAGTTGTAATGGTGACAGCTCTTATGCTGCCTGCGTGGGAGTGGCTCTGCGGGACCAGTTCTCGGACCCGCGTCCACGGTAGCCGCCGCGACCTCCACGGCTGGAAGGAGGTGTCGAAGTGCTTGCCTCGCCAGAGTACGAAGACTCCCGCCCCTTGCCGCCGCGATGGTTTGGACCCGATCCACGCTGCCCACCACCCCCACCACGCCCGCTCGATCGTCGTGGATTGCTTCCTGATCGGGACAATGGAAGAGGAACAGTCCTGGCATCGGGCATATCAGGAAGAAAGATACGGTAGTAAACATTACCGCTGGTCGACATTTCATGAGGGAACCACAATGAACGAACAGTCTCGATTTCGGAAACCCAAAAGCGCCTCGGTAAAGGCTTTGTGGGGGCGGTAGCAGGTTGCCACGCAGCTTCCGGAGTCTTATGGGGAAGGTGAATTCGTGGAAGCGATCCCATTTCCTGCTCCTCGAAACACTCCTCAGCCATTGGCTTAGTAGTGAAGGACTTCACATCATCTGACAAATGCTGGATGGTGGAGCGAGGTAGAGAGACAGTAGCCGGATTGTAGTGGCCCGAGTAGTCGAGGGCACTTTTAGTGACAGGCTCGACGCCAGGCGCCTTTGGTGGAGAATTGGGCTTTCGTCCCGTGAGTAGGTTGTTGATGCGATCTTGCCAGTTTTCGTTTCCTGCTTGATCTTGCGATCTGTGAGGCGCATGGTTCTGCTGGTAGGGCCCACGGGCGTGAGCTCCCTGGCCATCCTTGTAGCCTGCTGGTGTTGCCCAGGCAAATGGCCCAGTGGACCTTGGTGCTGATGGTTGCGCCGCTGCAGCTGAGGGCGGTAATTTGACAACGGGATGCGGTCGGGGAAGGGATACGTGAGGATGCATTGCGTCCCCATCGAAGGCCGGATGGCCCAACATATCCGGGGGTGGCGGAGAAGGCGAGTTAGGCCTCGACGGTTCCGCCTGAGAAGCTGAAGAATCATTTCTGTTGTCCTTGGGAGGGAAGAATCTGGAGGAACTTCGAGACTGAGTGGCGGCTGACGGTCCAGTCGGAGGTAGTACAGACGGGTGTTCCACGGAGCCAGCAGCACGAGCAACATCGTGGTGAATGACATGTGCAGGATCGCGTCTGCCGTCACCAGAAGGCCGCCAAGTGTCTTTGATCGTGGCCTGAGCTTGTTCAATAGTGAGCCCGCGCTCCACTAAACTCCGATCACGTTCGAGGCGCTGCGACCTCTTCTCATCGAGGACTATCTTATCCCCTTCCAGAACCGAGTGGGCCCATCTGTTCCTCATCTCGTTCACTTCACGAGCAGCGCCCGTCGCGGGACGAACCTGGGAGACTGGTGGAATCTGAACCTGCGCTCGCTGCACGCTGGGGGGTGCGATGGGTGCTGGACCTTTGCCTGCTGTTTGTGGCTCTGGCAGACGGCCCAAGTCAGTGTTAAAAGTCCCATTGCCCAGTCCCCGATCATTGTTAGGCGATCCCCAAACATTGCGAGGAGCTTGAGGGGTAGCCGCGCCCCAGCTAGGGAGCCGTTCTTGTTGAGGTGTAGGTGCAACCCATGAGTTGGGCTGCCTGGCCTCCTGACCACTTTGTCGTCTCGCATGCTCTCCGCCGGCGGTGATAGGCCTCTCGCCGTAGGGTTTATCCTTGGCGTTGGCGGGAGTTGACGGGACAGCCGATGAATCGGGACTCGCGACAGGCGGTTGTGAACCGGCCTCTTGGCCAGCAGAGCCGTCTGGTTGACGGGATTGCGCCTGCGCTGGGGTAGCTGCGTTGGCATTCTCCGGTGACGATTCCTTTTTGTCACTTTTGCGTTCCGGGGCTGGCCCCATAGCTTCCAACTTCGCTGCAATGCGCGCTTTCCTTGCAGCTTCCTCACGAGCCTCCTCTTCGCGCCGCCTCTGCATTGCCAGCTCGCGTTTCTCACGCATGATCTTCTTCTGTAGCTCAAGATCCTCCTCCAATCGAGCCATTGGTGGCGGTGGGGCTGGTCTTCCGTCCGTTTGAGGGCCAGCTGAATGTAAGGTGGCATGGTTGGTTCCGGGCGATGGTCGAGGTTGCCACTGCTGGTTGCCGTGCATCCGAGGACCGTGTTGCAAGCCTGAAGGCGAGAAGTTCCTCGGGGAGATGGGGCTTTCAACCGAGCCAGCTATAGAACCTCTGCGAGCATTAAGCAAGTCCTGGGGAGGTGCCGGAAGCTCGTGCCCCCTGCCTGGCCGCTGCAAATAGGAACCGCTACCACCGCTAGCAACAGAGGATCCACGGCGTCTTCCCATAGCACCGTCAGGCACTGAGCTCCTGCTCGTTTGGAAAGCGGCGGACGGCTCCGGATGATCGGATTGGGACGGGCGTTGCAACAATGCCGGCTGCCTAGGATGGGCGTCGGATCGGAAAGAGCCTCTTCGATCGGCCGGGACGGGCTCATAACGCCCAGATTGAGAGTTGAATAGTTCTCGGTTGCCGCCAGCAGGGCCTTCTCTCCAAGCCGATCGATTGAAGTCATCAGCGGCTATCTCCTTTGCATGGTAAGGCGGAGCAACGTTGTGATTAGCCGCGTGGTCTCTAGGAGGATATCTTGCGCCTGCTTGAGGAGCAGGGGGTTCCGCGATGACTGGAGGAGGAGCCCTTTCAACAGGGGGCAGGGGTGCCCAAGGCGATTTCACTGGCGTCGGAGGTGCAGGTGGCTTGGCGACGAGCGTGGGCTTTTCGGCAGACCCGGCCTTGAGGATGAGTCCCTTCCCAGATGCAAGTCCGCCGGTCTTAATCGACGGCGAGGCGGTGGTACGAGGTGGTGGTACAGGAGATTTCGGCTTCTCTATAGCTTTCTCTTTCGGTGGCGCGGGAGTCGGCTCGGGCAGCGGCGCAGGTGCTTCGTCGGGATGCGGGAGCGTGGTCTTGGTACCGTCCGTCCAGGTGATGGTCTCGGGCGCCCAGTCGTCGTCGTCATCTTCTATATCTGCCCAGTTTCCCTGTGCCGACTGTCCGCTTTCGGGTGCAAGTCGGCTTGCCATATGAATGCCGTACTTCTTAAGCTCTTCATCCGTAAGCTTTTTGGGTTCCGGAGTTGGGACAGCTGAGGTATGTTGTTAGCACATAGCCGCAACCACCTCAAATACCTAGTAGTCGCCTTACGTCGGTTCTTGTTCCACACCGCGCTGGGGTCAGGGCCAGAGGCGGGCTTGGCACCGTTGGCTACCGCTTTGAGTCCGGGTGAAGACCCCGTGCCAGTGCCCGACTTTGCGACAAGTCTCGGCCGCGAAGACAGGGTCGAGGTTCCTGATGGTGAGGAGCTCAGGATCGAGGTCGAATTCGTCTTTTCGCCGGGTTTGGTTGTCAAGGAAATCGTAGGGCCCTTGGAGGCTAGGAAGGTCTTATTGACCGAGACAGCCTTGAACGTGGCGGGCTTCTTGACGGCCGACGACGTCCTACCGTGTCCCTTGTCTCCATCTCGAGCAGCCCGCGATGCCTCCGTATCTGACCCCCCACTAACACTAACATCTGCTGAAATGACTTGATCTTCGACACCGGTGATGTGCTTATTTTCCAAGTCATCGATGGCGGGACTACCGTTCAGGTTCGCGCGATTTGGACCGACATTTTGGGAGTCGATATCAGCGTCGTTAGTCTGTTCGGCGGGGGGTTCCCAAGGATCCTAGGTCAGCCAAGGCAAGCGACAAGGCGACAGGGTGAGGTTTGCATGGGGGACGAATGAAGACACATGAAGAGGGGACGTGGGGATCATCCGGCGATGGGGCCAGCGCCAGCGGTGAGGCTGGGGAGGAGGGGAAAAGAGGGAACTCACGAGCTTGGGGTCAGAATGGACAGAAGCATCAACGGGGGCGGCGAGGGTGGCTTCAGTTGCCATCATACGTCGTCGGATGTTCTGCGCTGGAAGAGCGATGTTTGGCTTTTCCGATCTCGAGTCACCGAAAGGACAAGTTCTGGGGGGGTTTTGTAGAGGGACGGGTTGGTGGTTGGTTGGTTGGTTTGGTGATGGATTATGGGGCCGGGGGCGACGAGTCACAGAAATCGAGCGGTTTCGTGTATCGAATCGCGGGACGAATGCGATCTTGGGAGTCGCGAATTCGTGTATTCCCCTACCAGCAAGACGTAGGTCGTCGTTGAGGTATGCGTCGGGGGTTTGGGAGGGAAAGGGGAAAAAAAAGAAGCGCTGGGCTGATGGGGGTGAGGTGGTGGTAGAAGGGCACACCTATGCGGCTGTGATGGTTGCGAGGTCGATTTTCCAGAGGAGCTGCAGTCGCCTAATCAGGGATTAGCGTGCGGCAGGGGAGCAGCCAAAGTTCTCATTGTCCAGTGCGAGAGGAAGCAGGTGAGCATGGTGAGGGAAAAGAGTGGACCTGATGGGTCCTGCCCGCCGACGTGGTCACTGGAAGGCTGTAACAGTGTGTCGAGCTAGAGCACTGTGCGAATTTAGCACTGTGTCATGGCTCAGCTCGGGCTAGTGCGGAAAGCGCTGGCTCTGCGCAGTCTGCGGGCAGGTGGTCTTGGTCGGGCTGGGGAAAGAACCTCTGGACCAACGCGGGATTCCCCGACATCGAACGGGCTATTCTTGGATCTCGTGCATTGATGAGCGCCTCCCCGTCTGAGCATTCATGGATGCAGACACTGGCGCAGCCTCCGCACTCTCCAACTGACAGCTGTCTTTACCTATCGAGGGTGATAGTAGATGAAATTATGACACTACTATTGCATGGAGACTGGCGAATGAAATACATAGTCAATCGAGAGCAGCACATGGCAAACCAAAGTCAATGGGCGATCCCCTCACTGCCGGCCACAACTTGTCTACATCACATTGGCTCCCCTCGAAGTTTGAGCCGAATGAGCATTACGCAATACTACTCAGTTAATCTTCGACTAGCTGAAACAAACTCTCGGCTTTACTTGTCGGCGGCCTGAATGACCGAGAATGAGAAACCCCAGGCCATCTTTTGATTTGGTCATTTTGTTCACAATAAGGTGTACACGCTGGACACAAAAAGAAATTTGCCGAGGAGCCTTCTCCTGGAGAATAGGTTCTAATTCTTATATACACGGTCCCAATGCCATTACACAGCCTGCGGCTGGACTACAACCAGATGGGAGTCGCTTAGTGAGCATTGTTCTTGTGGTGGCCTGTCAACCGTTAGCATCATCAGGCCGCTAGCTTTGCGTTCTTCTTCTTTTTGTGTCTCGTCCGAACTGGTGTGTCGAAGGGAATTTGCACGTACGGAGGTGGAAGTAGTAGTTCTGAGCGTAGCCGACGACGAGGAGAAGTCCAAGGGCGTGGATGATGGCTACACAAACAAGCGTCAGTCTTCCTGTCCGCATCAGACGTACAACCGCGATCCGGGGGACGACATACGCTTCGCAGAGGCGTTCTTGCCGCTGAAGTGCTTGGCGGCGTAACGGCCGAGGATGCCAGTGGGCTTGGCCTCGGGGGCAGCACCACGGGGGAGCTTCTCGTAGAAGTTGACAACGCGCTGCATGCGAACGGCGTTGGGGTCCGCACCAAGGGCCTGGAAGGAGGGACGTTGTGTTAGCCCGTTTGCCCGTGTTGTTGATTTTCCTCATAGCTCCGAGTAGCTCCGTCTTTCCTTCTCCAATCCCGCGCCCACCTCCGAATCCGCCGGGTAACTTTTCCCATCGACCTTGCATCCATCAAACAACAACGTAAAATCGGGGTTAAGATCATACCTTGGGAGAGGCGACCTGGTTTTATCATGTGAGTATAGTCTTCCGGAATAACTGCCGGTCGCCGGCCGGACAGAGGGAGAAGCGCACCTTGGGGGGGATGAGGGTCGAGAGACCGCGGCGGGGGACGAAGCTCATGGTGGCTGGGTGTCGAAGAAAAACGGAGGAGGGATTTCGTCGGTCGCTCGGCGCAAACGGTCAATTGAGCGGATCAATTGACTTATCGATTTCGACGTGGAGGGGAGAAGGCTGATGCTCTGCAATGGTGGTCGAGGGTGACGCTCCGTTGCCCATGTGAGGTTTGAACGAAAAGCACTCGTTTCTTTCGGGTCAAGGTTCTTGCGGCGACCAATCAGCGCACCACAAACTAGGGGGGCCCCCGAGCAAGGCCCTGCCGCCTTGTCCCAATGCCGAACGTCAACCACCACCGTATCGCATTCTCAAACTCCAATTCCTCGTCGACGACGCCTTTTTGCTTCATCAATTGAGGGAAGCGAAATCCGTCGCAATGGCATCCCTCCGAGCCTACAACGCGGCCCGCATCCTGCGGAACGCCGCTCCCTTCCGAGCTTCCGTCTCCGCCCCCATAACCGCTCGCCGATTCGAGAGCTCGCTCACGACCGGTACGACACAGCCCGCCGCCGCCATTCCCCCCTCGACCGAGCAGAACGAGCCCGACTACAGCATCGCCGCCGACAAGGCCACCTCGTAAGAGCTTCCGGGGCTTCAATACAGGTCCATTGGAAAACGCACAATAGCGCTAATTGTCGTCGCTCGCAGGACCTTCACGCCGACACCCAAGAAGCTCCAGAACGGCAGCGAGGACGTTCCCTACATCCAGGCCGCCGTCATCTCGGGTGCTCCCATGGAGCTCCAGGCTCGCACTGTCCGGTACGCATGATCCCTCGCAAATCCGCGAGGCAGAAGATCCCAGACAGAAGACTAATGACAGGTTCTGCGCACAGCATCTACCAGGAGGCCAAACCCGCAACGCAATCCGGCAACTGGAAGGGCCACCACTGGCGCATGGACTGGGACATTCTCCCCAAGGGCCACCGATGGGAGAACCCGCTGATGGGCTGGCAGTCGTCGGCGGACATGATGCAGGGCACCAAGCTCAACTTCAAGTCCAAGGAAGACGCCATCCACTTTGCAGAGAAGCAGGGCTACGAATACTTTGTGCAGGAGCCCCAGTCAAGGCGGATCAAGCCCAAGGCCTACGCCAACAACTTTCTTTACTCGCCCAAGAAGCTCAAGCACATCCGAGCCAAATAGAGACGCTGTGTCACCTGTATATAAACTTTCAAAAGACGTTTTCCCCCCATTTCTTTCCGTACCGTGGTTGGCTTGACGGTGGCATGATGATTGCCTCCCGGTCATGGGCAGATAACGATCACTCAAAAATCTCAAGAAAGAAAAAGACATTTCTAATTCACCTTTATGATTCAAGTTGAGCAAGGTCCATTCTTCAACAGGAGGGAAACTTGGTGTGTTGAGCTGTAAGCGGACTTTCTCTCAATATGATTGGCTGAAAAGTACCCGCCCAGCCCAAATACATTACTGGGGTGATGCACTGGGGAAGATGGGCTCAATTCAACTTGGGTTCAAATAGATATCAAGGGGACAGGCAGTTTCACCAAAACACCGAAACTCGCAGCACATTCAGTTCGCAATTGCCATGATGGCTTCTATTCATTTATCGGTCATCTGTTGACCCGGTGTCTTGAACCATTAAAAATGTAAGTACCATGATCTCATTCAGTCGTAACCGAATGTTGAACGCCTCCAAGATTCACCGATCCTGGCCCATATCCCAAAGAGAGGCCTTGCTCTAAACTCCATGCCCTGCCCATTACACTGAAGTTGAATCTCAAGTACCCTCAGAGTATGCAATGATCAACTCGATCAAGCGGCTGTCGGTACCGCCTTCGCTTGTGACGTTGCCCACGCCATTATGATAAATCTCCGCGCCCAGGATGCGATTCTATTCCTCGCCCGGCGTGATCGATGTGCTGCGAAGACGCTGGCGAAGGTCAGCTGCGTCATGCTGTCCCTCATCAATCACTGGGCCATCCCATGACAGATCAATAGTTTCCCTGTCGCTGCTATCGTGCTCACTATCACCGTTCTACGAGATCATCATTGGGTCGTGCCCGTCATTCTCGTCCCCATTCAAGCCCAAGCCAATTCTCTCAGGGAGGGGCCTTTTTTCTGCTCTCGCAGTAGACTCGGCCCAAGCCCTCATCTTCACCAGCTGTCGGATCGCGGCTTCCCTGCGCTCCGACTGCCGCTGTAAGATGGCCTTGTTGACATCATCAGCAACATCCCGTCTCAGGTCTGGATGCAAAATGGCTGCCAACTGAGGTTCGAGGTCGTGATGAGGGAACACCAGCAGTGCCATTGTCTCTTCAAGGTCTTTGAGAAAGCGCGAATCGGTCGGAGCGCGGGGTCCAAGATGGATCGTGGCGAATGACAAGGCAGGAGTAATATCCCCGCCAGGTGTGTTCGTGCACACCCGAATCAGCTCCACCAGTTGGAGGCGAAGCAGCGCGAAGTGCAATGTGGGATCTCGGTCCAGGATCTGTGTTACTTGTTAGAACATGTCGATGAGATATGAAACATGGTGACAAGTAGTGGAGAAGGGTAAAAGCTCATTCAAAAGTGGTTGTTCCTCATCAAAGACCCGAAGGTGCTATGAGTGGTGCATGATAACTCGATGTCTAATCACTGCGATTGGGGGTAACGGCGCGGAGGGTAAGCAACTAACCTCAGAGTCAAAGTCATTCAGGGCCTCGATGGCGTACTGAATGCTTCCAGTGTGGATTGACTTTTGGATCTGCTGACGGACCTTGATCGTCTCATCGACTTGGTGGGGTTGGAGGTTGGCTTCCTTGCTGAATTTTGCGGCAGCATTAGGGTAACCTTCCATCGTCAAGTAATCGAGGATCAGGGCGTTAATGTCGCTGGAGGTCCATGTTAGCACAGTGTCCTCTTGTTTGTAGGTTCCACAGAATTTTGAAAAGTTTGCAAAACAGCAAAGTTGTCAGGGTTATTTTATATCGAGTTCTCCGCATGGTAATTGCTAGGAGAGATTCCCATTTGATAGTTGATCATCATGTGAGCTGGGAGCTGGGAGGGGGAAAGGGTGGCGCCAGACGTAGCCTCGGAGCTAGCGCCGGGCTAAGACGTGGGAGAGAAAGAGAAGAGCGGCTTACCTTTTGGGCGACTTGACGTCCTGAACACGCCTTTCAAAGGCATGCTTCATGGGCGTTGCAGTCGACGCAGACGAAGTCTGAATGACATCTTAGCTGGTTGCCAGCAACAGCAAGAAGGCACACGGGAGCTCAACGGACCATGATTCTCTCCAACGTCTCCCGCACGAGACGCGCAGCAGCTCTATTCCAAACTGCTATGGCTGTTGGGTCGTTGATGTCCGGCAGTCCTGACATGCGATGGGAAATGCGCAAAGCAGGGAAAGCAAGGCAGGATCAGACTCTGGGCTGTCGTCACATTTGAGTGGCCAGTCGAGCTCCCGTTTGTTGTTGTGCGAAGGGTTTGAAAGAAGCTGAGGAAGAAATGGGATTGGATGTGGAAGAAGGAAGAAACGTCGGAACAAAGAGAAAGAGGCTGGAGCGGAGCTTTATTCGGTTCCAGAGTTTGCGGCTGCAGAGGGCCAATGGCAGCATCAGCCGGTCCCCTTGGCGTGGGGCATCCGTGGTTAGATAATCCGAGGCACATGAGCAACCTGGGCTAAGGCGCGGAGAGCAGCCACGCAGCCTGGGGGGCCACAACTGGGCTGGGACAGGGCAAAAAACACAGGGCGGGCCCCACCATAGGCACAAGTGGGAAGAGAGGCAGGTACCAGAGCTAAAACCGAGCAACGTGCCTGCGGGCCTGCTGGAGAGCTGTGGCCTGCGGGCATTTGGACCCTGTGTGCCTGTGTAAGCCTAGCCCGTCCATGGTCCATCTTCCATCTTGAGAACCGAACAAACCAGTTGCTTTGAGGCAAGATAGCACGCGAGCACTGCCTCTCGTCTCTCTCTCTCTCTCTCTCTCTTTCTCTTATCAGGCTTGGGCGTCTTGACTTCAACATCTTCAAGATTCCCTACCCACCTTCCGTATAGAAATAGTTGATCAGCACCTTTGTGTGCCGACGCAGCGCTACCTTCGGTTGCCTTCAACATCCAGCCCGGGCAGCTCCACAAGGCTTGTCAGAGTCAAGCATCCCCTCAGCGCTTATCTTTGGAGACTGGACCCTGGACTGGCCTTTTCGCCTCCGTTTTCATTTTTATATTCTTGACTTCATCTTTACTTCCTCCATTTGCTTGTAAAGAAGCAGACAAACCAAGCTGTCACCCCTTGCGGCCTTGTGTCGCCGTCTTTTTCATCCACCTACTTAGCTGCTGTATCCGAGGACCAGGCTGTTACTATCCGATAGCCACTGCCCGCCCCGCGCTTCGACGTCGGCGACCTCCGCCTCCTCATAATCATAATGGCTGACAACCACAGCGGCACCGAGTCTCATGTGACGGTCCAGCGGCGGACTCACTACTCACCACCATGGGCAGATGTCAGCATCATTGGCATTGCTGGTAGTTCCGGCTCTGGGAAGTCGACGCTGTCGCACGCCATTGTGAGCAAACTGAATCTGCCCTGGGTGGTGATTTTGTCCATGGTATGTGTGCATTTACCCCACCAACCAGGTCGCGGCGATTCCCCCTGACCCGATTTGATATAGGACTCTTTTTACAACCCCCTGAGTCCTGAAGAGTCTAAGAAGGCCTTCGACAACGACTTTGACTTCGATGCGCCAGATGTAAGGTATATGCCGCTGTTCTGGTGGTATGCGTGTTGACCACAGTCAGGCAATCGACTTTGATGTTCTTGTGCAATGTTTGCGCGACCTCAAGGCTGGGTAAGTCTTGTAACCTGTTTACTTGTGGGATGCTTCTAGTCCGGAAACAAAAGAAATCAGCCCTCAATAATGGCTCCAGGATAGTAATTGGTCTCTAGTAAACGGGCTGAAATCCCCATTTACTCCTTCTCCAAGCATCAGCGGCTGGACAACACCACGACCATTTACTCCCCTCACGTCATCATTCTGGAAGGAATCTTTGCCCTTCATGACCCCCGTATCATTGATCTTCTGGATATGAGGGTATTTTTCTATTTCCGCAAATCAGAATGCGACAGATTCCTGACTCTAGTCTAGATATTCTGCGAGGCGGATGCCGATACGTGCCTGTCTCGGAGAGGTAAGTCGCAGGCAGCCCAGGAGGCGTTGAATTTGTGATATGACTGACCTTGCCACATGAAGTGTTGAGAGATGTCAAGGAGCGTGCTCGCGATGTAGATGGTATCATGAAGCAATGGTTCAAGTTTGTAAAACCCAACTTTGAAAAAGTAAAGAGCTCAGTTGTCTGCTCATACCGGTCTTGACTGACATTTCTGTCCTTAGTTCGTCGAGCCGCAGCGCAAAGTCGCAGGTATACTATTCCGAATCGCTTCCAAAGCCTTATGAAAACTGACTTCAACAAGATATCATTGTGCCGAGAGGAATCGAAAACCGCGTTGCCATGGGTAAGCAAACTGCGATTGGTACACAACTGTGATAACTAATGCTTTAGCCAGCCATGGTTGTTCAGTACATTGAGCGGAAGTTGATCGAAAAGTCCACCCACCACCGGGCAGCACTCACCCAGTTGGAGTTGGCGGCTGCCAGTGACCCTCTGTCCGACAGAGTCGTGATCCTGGACCAATCGCCGCAGCTGAGAGGCATGAGCACCATCATCCAAGATATCGATACTTCTGCGGAAGACTTCATTTTCTACTTTGATCGCCTCGCCTGTCTTCTGATTGAGCAGTGAGTATACAGCGTGGCAGGTGACGGTCTGCTCAGCAAGCTGACGTTGATAGGGCACTCAACAATGTGCAGTTCAGAGAAAAGACCATTGCCACACCCCAAGGTTACAAGTATAACGGACTTCAGGCTACGGGCGATGTAAGTGCGGTGCTGGTCCTTCGAGGCGGTGCTGCCTTTGAGACGGCCTTGAAGAGGGTCGTCCCCGACATGCGGACAGGCAGAATCCTGATCCAGTCGAACGTACGAACAGGAGAACCCGAGCTGCATTATCTCAAGCTCCCGGACAACATTGACGACCACGAGTCGGTCTTGTTGATCGACACGCAGATGGCCAGTGGAGGCGCCGCACTTATGGCTGTGCAAGTCCTCGTCGACCATGGCGTTTCTCAAGACAAGATTGTCCTAGCATGCTATGCTGCTGGAAGGTTAGGTGTGCATCGGCTTGCAAAGGTGTTCCCAGGTATCACCATTGTCCTGTGCAACATGCTTGCAGACATTGAGGATCGTTGGGTCGAGAAGAAGTACTTCCGATGCTAGCCGCAGACGTACATATAACCGGCGGTGCGCTTCTACCATTGTCACGAATTCGATCAGTGCTCATGTGGCAATAGCAAAGTCAATCGTAAAAGATGCATCGTAGGGCCATGGAGTAGGGCTGTTTCATGAGATTTTGAGGGTACTTCGAACTCGTGGCCATGGAAACGGCCGCATACTCGCCGCCTGCAAGACCCATCACCTTGCAGACGTGTGTTCACCACCTCCTTTGTATTCTGTACCGGATCGCGGCTCGGCTGAGATTCTTGTAATTGGCTCAAGTGCGGCTTCAAATTGGCCGAACGAGACACCGAGGAGTGGACATGGTGGTGGAGACTACGGCACCGCGGCAGGGGGCTTTGGACGCCGCTTACTGAGATCACATTGTCGCTAGGTACTCACTAGACGATTATTCAGGCCGAGAAAGGACCCTTTTAAAGGATCTTATCAGCTCGGACGACCGTGGGATCGCGGCGCCGACGACGGAACGAGAGGTTGGGACGAAAGTCCGCGCTATCGGAGACGGCGATATGCTGTCGGATTCTGATTTATGGCAAACAGAGTTTCTCTTCTTGTCCGCATCGGAGGACGCATCCAGCATTTTCGGAGTAACAAGGTATTTTTGTGACTAGGTATTCTGGCGCTGCTTTTCCTGTCTGGTGTAATTGCATGGGAGGCAAGTTTTTGGCTTAACCGAACAATGACGTACTTGCTGGAGCTGTCGGCACAGGCAGCTAGCTCCTCGGATTTGACGGTTCTGGCTCGACCTAGTACAAGCATCATTACGCATATGTCCAGGGAGCTATGCCCGCCGGCCCCTAGATCGTTCAATTCCGTGACCATTACGACCTTGATTTCTCTCCTTGGAACACAAACAACCTCGCCTTGCTACCTTTCATTTTGCCGGTTGTTGGCAACAGATACATCGCGACATATCTAGAGCTCTGCTGCTCCCTTCGCTCGTTTCGACATGAAATCTCCATACTATTGATCTATCTACAACGACACTGTCAGACGAAAACACCAACTATTTGCGATAATTAAATGCCTCCCACCACATCCGCGCTGGGGCGCATACCTCGCGTCGTTACCCAGAAATCATCCTTCGGCTTATTCAAACCTACGCCGATATGCAAGCAACAAGTCGCACTGTCGCAAAGGCGCGCTTTCAATAGCCCTCCCTTGCGATCCCGGACAACTTCTACACCTCTCGCCAACTCCTTCTTCAACGCCCATGGCCTGCCCAGAGGCACCGCCATTCGATCCGTCTCAGGCGCGTCGCCTTCCGCTTCGAAACCCAAATCACGGCTTCTCCGCCTCGCATACGCTAGCGCCGCATGGCTCGGCGGCGGCGTCATCTTCGTCGGTCTCGGGGTGGTCGGCTTCTTCATCTACGATGCCTCCACTTACAAAGAGCACCCGGACCAGAACGAAATCGAGGTATCTGAGCTGGCACTAAGCCCCAACCGGGGCGGACCAAAGAACTTGCCCATCGCCGAGGTTTTGATTGACGACTTGGACAACGAACATATGAAGAGCGCAAAGGAGAAGCCGAAGCTTGTTATCCTCGGCGGCGGATGGGGCGGAGTGGCTCTCCTCAAAGAGCTCAACCCCGACGAATACCACGTTACCGTTATTTCTCCTACAAACTACTTCTTGTTTACTCCCATGCTGCCGTCTGCTACCGTCGGAACTCTGGAATTGAGATCACTGGTCGAACCTGTCCGTCGAATCCTCTCCCGCGTTCACGGTCACTTTATTCGCGCAAAGGCCGAGGACGTCGAGTTCTCACACAAGTTGATTGAATGCTCTCAACCCGACGCTTTTGGTAACGAAACCCGATTCTATGTCCCCTACGATAAGCTGGTCATTGCCGTTGGATCTACCACGAACCCTCACGGTGTCAAGGGATTGGAGAACGCACACTTCCTCAAGGATATCAGCGATGCGCGCAAGGTTAGGAACCAAGTCATGCACAACCTCGAGCAAGCCTGTCTGCCGACGACCGCCGACGAGGAGCGCAAGCGTCTCCTGTCATTTGTCGTCAGCGGTGGCGGTCCTACCGGTGTCGAGTTCGCGGCCGAGTTGTTTGACATGCTCAACGAAGACCTGACACTGCACTTCCCCAAGCTCCTCCGCAACGAGATTTCCGTACACTTGATCCAGAGCCGTAGTCACATCCTCAATACCTATGACGAGACTGTCTCCAAATACGCAGAGGAGCACTTCGCCCGCGACCAGGTTGACATTCTCACAAACTCCCGCGTCAAGGAGGTCCACCCTGACAAGATTGTCTTCACCCAGAAGCAGCTCGACGGATCCCTCCTCACCAAGGAGCTCCCCATGGGCTTCTGCCTCTGGTCAACGGGCGTCGCCCAGGCTGACCTCTGCAAGCGTCTCTCCGCCAGGCTCGGCCCCTCGCAGACGAACCGCCACGCCCTGGAGACGGATACCCACCTCCGCCTGAACGGGACCCCCCTCGGCGACGTATACGCCATCGGGGACTGCTCGACGGTGCAGAACAACGTGGCCGACCACATCATCACCTTCTGCCGCGGGCTCGCCTTCAAGCACGGCAAGGATCCCGAGACCTTGGAGCTCCACTTTAGCGACTGGCGCGAGGTGGCCAACGACGTCAAGAGGCGCTTTCCCCAGGCCGTCGGCCACCTGAAGCGCCTCGACAAGCTGTTTGAGCAGTTCGACAAGGACCAGTCCGGCACCCTCGATTTCGGCGAGCTCAGGGAGCTGCTGAAGCAGATCGACTCCAAGCTGACCTCCTTGCCGGCGACGGCGCAGCGCGCTCACCAGCAGGGCCAGTACCTAGCGCATAAGTTCAACAAGATGGCGCGCACGTCGGACGGGCTGAAGGCCAACATGGTCCTCGATGGTGACATTGACGCGGTGGTGTACAAGGCGTTTGAATACCGCCACCTCGGCAGTCTGGCCTACATTGGCAACTCTGCCGTATTTGATTGGGGTCAGGGTTGGAACTTTGCCGGCGGGCTGTGGGCTGTGTACATGTGGCGGTCTGTCTACTTTGCCCAGAGCGTCAGCTTGCGGACGCGCATTCTGCTTGCCATGGATTGGGCCAAGCGCGGTCTCTTTGGAAGAGGTATGTTTACATGCAAACCACCTTACGAATACTATTTCATGGTTTTGGTGACTAACACGCTCCCTAGATTTGATGAGCTACTAGAAGCAATGACGAGTTGTTGCAAGATTGAGTTTTCTCTTTTGTTAGCATACCCTGTGGAGTACGAGGTACGAAATACGCCTGGCATGATGCATCAGTATAGAGTTACAGTACCCAGACAGAGTAGACAAAAAGAGATACGTGGATGGGTCTCTGATAATTTCAACTATTTGTATAAACAGTTTCTACATGGCTCATCCATTTGATGTGTGTCGAAACGAAAGCGAAAGTCAAAATGTGCACGCTTTTGATGATTATTCTGATGACTTCTAACAAATACCGACACCCTAAATCCTGAAGTCCTTGTAAGACCACTTCTCCGTGAGCTTCGTCCTGGCCTGCTTCTTGAACGGGATGTGTCTTCTGGCTTCCACCCTGCCGCGCACGAGCAGACTACGGTACCGGTCCTTGAGCAGGTTCCCCTCGGGCTTCAGCAACCGCAGCGAATCCTGCAGCTCGTCGGGCAAGACCAGCTCCAAGTCCTTCTCGGGCAACTTCATCTTGCCCAGCTGCCTCCTCCTCAGCCGGCCCTCGTCGACAATGTCGTCTTCGTCGTCGTCGGCGTCGCTCCCCTCGCCCACCTCCTTGGCCAGCGCCAACGCGCTCTTGGAGGCGTCGCGGCCCGCAATCTCGGCGGCGATCTCCTTGATCCGCTCCGCCTGCGCGGCCTTCTTCTTGAGCGCGAGCTGGTGCTTGGCCTCGCGCTCCGCCTCCTTGCGGCGCTTGATGCGGTTCCTCTGCTGCGGGGTCTTGCGCTGGGGTCTCTTGGTATTCGGCTTATCGTCACCTTCCACACCGCTCTCGAACCCTTCCCAGGCGGAATCCTCGTCCCACTCGGACAGCTGCGCGCGCGCCTCGGCGGCGTCGGCCTCGGCGGCGGATTTGGCGATGGCTTCGCGCTTGAGTCGGTCCGCTTCTTCGGCGGCGAGGCGGGCTTCTTCCGCGGCGACGGCTTTCGCGCCTTCCTCTTCGAGACGGTCGGCGTAGTCGTCAAAGGTCGGGTTGTAAGAGTAGCCGCCAGTGGGCTTGACAACGGCGGGGATTTGGCGACCGCTGGCGGTGAGGGAGATGGGCGTGTGTTTGAGGGTTTTGGGGGGTTTGGCTTTTTGGATGGGCGGGAGGAAGTTGTCCTTGCTGCTGCTGGAGACTGCTACTGCCTTGGAAGAAGACGGCGCCGCCGCGCCCCATAGGTCGTAGGTCGCTTCCTGGGGGACGATGCTGGTCGATTCCTCCTGGTGTCCATCGGCGACCCGGCGCAGGCGGCTGAGCTCCTTGTGGGAGACCCAGTCGGTGCGCTGGCGCTTGACCGGGAGGAGGCCGTCCGACGTCTTTGAACTTTCGGCTTCGCGCTTCTGCTTGCGGGAGGAGACGGCGGGAACGGCGGAGCGGGCGGCGAGGATCTCGTCGGACTTGAGCGTCTTCTTGGGCTTGGGGCGCTTTTCGACCTTGCCGACCGTGTCGAGGGTGAAGAGGTCTGCCGAGTCCTTTTCTGCGACGACACCACTTTTGGTAATGAGTTAGCTTATATTCTCGTTTTTTCCCTTTCATTTTTGGCAATTGATGGTTTCCCGCGGAAGAGAAGAAGTGCATACCCGGCAATGATTTGTGTGTTCAACTCATCGAGACCTTCTTGCACCTCGGAAACGTCGACGTTCTTCCTCCACGCCTTCTTTCCCTTTCTTGAGGGCTGCTTCCGTTGCTGGGGCGCTTCGCCGTCGCCCGAGAGGGGCTTGAGGACGGGCATGTCGGGAACTGGTCGAGGTGCACTTTTGTTCTTTTGGTGGCTTTCCGGTATGTGCAAGACGGAGAGATTCACCGGGGATCAATCTGATGTCGAAAAGTCGATCTGCGCGCCTTGCCCATCTACTGGTCGTTGAATCTGCACTCTGCACCAGCTGGAACGGCGGGGCCTGGACCGTCCAGAAATTTTCGAACCAGGGTCCCGAATCTTTTTTTTCTTGTCTTATCGGATAAGGTACCTCATGAGCACGCTCTTATCAGTTATCAACACGTGATGCACCCGGTCTCTGCTGGCTCCTCTGAGCCCACCGCAACGGATGACGGGGCCCTTGCCAATGTGTAATGCGCCCAGAGGCGAAAGGTCGACCTCCTTTTATCGTCTAGCTGCTTAATTTCCACGACCGCGATCCAACACCGACCACACGTCCCCCTCCCTCCCTCGGCCAGCCATTCCCCTCTTCGATTTTGTCCTTCGGTCTAGCAAAAAGGTGCTCGGCTTTCTGCTTCGTTTTGTTTGCTCGCCCCGACTCCCTTGCATCAAGCCACCTGTTGGTCCGTCGTCTCCGTTAGCCGACTGCAACCCCCGATACGACCCTCGAAGCTTCCCTTTGATCAAAAACCGCATATTACTTGGCAACCATGGCGTCCGGCGCAGGCGGGTCTTACAACAATCCCCTCAAGAAGTTCAAGTACGATTGCGCCGATACAGAACAATTCCATTGGAGCAATGCAAAATAAACTAACGCAATGAAACTCCCAGGCTTGTCTTTTTGGGCGAGCAGAGCGGTATGTCAGCTGCGTTGTCTTCTTTGATGGAGAGGCACATGGCTAACAGCTCTTTGTGTGTTTGCAGTGGGGAAAACTTCTCTCATTACCCGATTCATGTACGATTCGTTCGACAACATGTACCAGGCGACCATTGGAATCGACTTCCTCTCCAAGGCAAGCTGTCACTGAGATTTTCAACGGGCCACCAGGAACCGCCGTCTAATACGTTGCAGACCATGTACCTTGAAGACCGGACAGTGAGATTACAACTTTGGGATACCGCCGGACAGGAACGTTTCCGCAGTCTGATTCCCTCGTACATTCGCGATTCCAGCGTGGCAGTGGTCGTCTACGACATTTCAAGTACGTTCAACTGCGAGGGATGGGAGACGTAGGGCATGGGTGAATGGGGGCGACCAATGACTGACTTTGACAAAAGATGCGAAGTCCTTCCAGAACACGAAGAAGTGGATCGACGACGTGCGCGCCGAGAGAGGAAACGATGTCATCATTGTCCTTGTGGGCAACAAGACGGACTTGAACGACAAGCGAGAAGTGACGACGCAGCAGGGCGAGGAGGAGGCCAAGAAGAACAACCTCATGTTCGTCGAGACCAGCGCGAAGCTGGGACACAACGTCAAGACCCTCTTCAAGAGAATAGCGCAGGCTCTTCCGGGTATGGAGGGAACGGATGCCGCAGCGCAGGCCTCAAGCCAGAGTGCGTACTACCCTCTAAGTTCATGGCCTATGTGGGCAGTGGTACTGACTAGAACGCAGTGATTGATGTGAAGACGACCCCCGCCCAATCGTCGCAAGAGGGATGCGCGTGCTAGACGACTATTTCGAGAAGAAAAAAGACCAAACGACTCTGGAGTAGGAAGTCCGAGACGAGCCGTGACGGACGACGCGGAGCTGAATCGAGTTGCCGTTACGTTACGACATGACTGGCGGGGCAGGACATCTTAAGCATAGCGTGCAAATGGGGATTTTAAGCATCAGTTACAGTTTGTATAATAACGGGCTATACTCCACGGTCGTTAGTACATACCTACATTTAATGGCTCTGATTTTCTCTTCTTCTGCCCCGAGCAGTTTTTCCACAGAGTACGACATGCAATTTGCGGGGGAATTTTGATAGGTGCCATCCTGTCAAGGCGAGATGTTGGTTGAGTTGTCCATGATGCTCCCCGTCCGAAATGGCATGGGACTCTCTCACGGTTACTGGTGCCCGTGATGCCGCGGGGACTGTCACTGATTACCGGGGTCCATTCATCGTGTGGTGCCAGCGTAGGAATGGCCCCCGCCGCAATCCGTGGAATCGGTTTCCGCCGTAGCGCACTATAGCCGTGCATTTTCAGCCATGGAGTGCTGCTGCAGAGTGCCACAGATTGCCACAGAGTGCCTTAGCCTATTGCAGAGAAGCGGCGTTCAGATAAACCCCGAGGGCGCGACGCTATGACCATGAACGGATCGGGTGGGGCCCATCATGTCATCGAGAAAGTGCGACCGCAGGGTCTTTCTACATTACCTTAAGGTACGCTTATTTTTCCCATATCATCATCCGGTGCTGCCGCTTTGGCTAAATGTGACGGGCCACTTTTTGGGCATAACTTTGCGACACTTCCCCAAAAGCTTCCGACCCTTTAGGAATATCTGAGCTTCAGGACCCCTTTCTTCTGACGCAATACTCTCTCTACACACACAAACATCACAAAGTGGACAGACAGAATGGTGTTTTCAAAATTCAATGTGCGGTTTCCGCTCCCAAAGGTATGCGTGTATTACAACCTCGTCTCCATCACTACGCGCAGTAACTGCACAACATCATTTTATCATCTGACGAGCGAATCACTGGCGGCTAACATGAGATTGTTTGTGTGTGACAGACCTTTCTGGGCTGCATCGGCCTCCAGACGGGCACCGAGGTCATCTCCCTGATCCTCCTTTTCAACAGGCTCACCGGCCTGTACGGCCTCCTCGCCATCTTCACGGGCTACGAGCTGTCGGTGACCCAGCTGTCAATGTACCTCTACTCGCTGGGGGTCGTCGTCCTGCTGGCCATGTTCATGCCTCACATCCGCAAGCAAACCCCCTTTGAGACGCTGGGTCTCGCGTGGCTCTACATTGTCGACACGATCCTCAACGTCGCGTACACGACCTTCTTCGCCGTGAACTGGTACCTCAACAGCAGCGCCCTGGACAAGCATCCGGCGGGGAGCACCACGGCGGCAACGGCCCCGGCGGCGGCGGAGATTGCGGAGATAGCGCTCGCCAACGGGGCACCCGTTGTGCCGGACGTCCCCGGGACGACGAAGCACATTGGTCCCCAGGAGTCGTGGATGAGTCTGGGGCTGATTTGCTCCGTGACGCTGGTGCGCGTCTACTTTGCGCTCGTTGTCATGTCGTTTGCGCAGCAGGTGTTGCAGCGGTACACGGCGGATATGGGCTGGGAGGAGGAGGGCCGCAGTAACAACAAGAAGGGCGGCCTCGACGGGCCGTTTTCACAAGGCGAACCCGGGGGTGAGGGTTCCCGTGGCCGCATCGGGCGCGTGATGCTCGCCCTCGGGCGCGGGTATTGGCTTCGCGAGAGGCCTCAGGAGGAGTGGGCGAGCGCAGTGAGCGCCAAGTTCCGGCACGCCGGGGTTTAAGTATCGGGGCACAATAAACAACTCTTTACCGGTACGTGAGCGGCAAGAGATGGATGTCGGTGCGGCATGTCGGCGGCAAGTGGCATGGCTGACCGCCTGGAGTGGGCCCGCCGGGACGGCAAGTCGATGATGCCATCGTGCGGTGGTATCATTGGGAGATCGCATCATTTGAACCGGGAAAGATTTTATCTCATAGTGGATGATGCCACGCGCGAAAGAGGTGGATCGTGTCTTGAGTAGATGCATGGCCGGCGATGGGGAATTTTGTACAACAACATGATGACTCTCAAGTACGGAGGGTGATTCGGCGTTTGGGAAGGTTCGTGACGAGGGCATTCATTGCGTTTGAAGTTCACGGCGATGAGAAGTGGAACCGGGAGTCTTTTTTTTTTTTTTTTTTTTTTTTTTGTATTGGGTGGTTGGCGCCCCGGGGGGGGGGGGGGGGGGTGCGAGGGGGGGTGTTGGTGGGTTTTGATGGTGCTGGGCGGTGGGGCGGGGAGGGGAGGGTTTTTTTTTTTTTTTTTTTTTTTTTTTTGGAAGAGCGGTTCCAAATCCCGAATGAGAAAGCATAAGATACAAGCCGCACATAGTATAGGCATACCTAGTAGAACAGTAATTCAAGAAGTTCAAATCGATTGTATCATTGGATGACTAGTGGATATCGGGCATTGGGCAACTGAACCACGGGGGCGGTGGTGTCAATACGCGAGTGATACGTAGTAGACAGAAACTACAAATACAGAGTCTACCATTTGTAATCCGAAAGAATCTCCGGGGGAGGGGATGGAGACGGCGGGTCCACGAACGGGAGATGGAGCAGCATGTCAGCTAGGTAGTCTAGTTTACTCGCCTCCGGATGGTTGGGCTGCGGCTACGAATCCGAGTTCCTCTGCCTATGGGTCTCTGCAAGAGTCAGAGACTCAGAGTGAAAGTTGAGAGGAAAGGCTTCCCGGCCGACAACGGCCTTTTTCGGCATTCGGGCAGGGGGGTAACAGATTCCCTCTCCCCCTGCTGGTGCTGTATTAGCCAAGAAGTGCCATCTTACATGGAATTTGTTAGAGTGTTGTTGAGTGGCTAATTGGGGTAAAGTAGAACGAGCTAGTGTTTATTAGATGGAAAGTCTAGCGCTGGTGTTTCTTTACAGAGTATACTGTAGTAGTAGCCGTCAACGATTCTCGTGATGAATAATACGACTGACAGGACGTGACGGTAAGGGAGGCAACTGCACTCTGGCTGGATTCAGTGCTTTCCATCTGGAGGAATCACAATGTACCACCTACTAAGATGTACCCACGTACCTTAAGGTAGCCAGGCACACACCCACTGCCATTGACCCCCAAAGGCAAGCCAACCCGCGGCGCAATGGGAGCAGTGCGGCAGAGAGACCGGCGAATGGATTGGGGAGACGCTGCGCTAGCCGATCACGCAATCGACCCTGATGTCGACAAAATTGTTGTTTTCTGCGGGGCGAAATTTATCGGTGGGCACAGCACCCAGCAGCAACAGCAGCAGCCAGCAGGCGTATCCAGCACCTTTTCTTGAGACGACGAAACCAGGGAAGGGAACGGGAATTGGGGAGAGTCCAAAAGCAGAAATACCATCGGAGCTGTTTCGCAACTTATTGGTGACCTTGTACCTTTTTTATTTTTATTTTTTTCAATCTTCTTGTTATCCGTCGATCTTATTCTGCGACCTCTTACTTACACCACATCTTTCTGTCTTCTACCCTCCCTCCTCCCCCGACCCTTTGCCATTGCACTCCACGTCGCCCGTCTCCAACAAACCTCTTCACGGGTTGAGCTGTGTTAGTCGTTATTGCCATTGTCGACTCTGTGTCGGAATTCTATCCTTTCTTGGTTCTTGGTCCAGAGGAGGAAACATAACGCAAGAAGAAGCCTAGCTGCAACTGCAAACGGCAGCGAAAGAGAGTTTCGAGACCTTCCACTATACGATACCCCCCCCCCTTCGAATTTACCCTCGAAATCTCCACCGGACACATACACACACATCGACAATGGCTCCGACAAGAGGCCAGATCCAGACGCCTGGAGAAGCTGGTAAGCAGTTTCCCTTCTACTCTGTACTACCGTCGGCTTTCGTCACCCCCTGGTCTCGCTCTCTGCAGCGGCGACGTCCTTCCAGCGCTGGTGCCCGCTGTAGTTACAGCGAAGCTCCGATGATGTTGGGCTTGAGCCAATCAGAGCTCTGCTATTTGTCGCAATCCAGCGGTGCAGAGTGCCCTGGCAACCCACCCGTGATGGGCGATGGGCAGCATCGCGAGAGAGAGACTGAGAGCGACGCCGACCACGGACGCGGGGCAATTGCACTTTGCGACAACGACGACAATGCTGGCTTGTGCTAACATGCGCCCTCTGCAGTTGCTAGAATCGCATACCTCTCCAGCGACGTCGTCGTTTCCGTCCAGCCCTCGCTGGCAAAGGACTCGGAGTTCTCAACCCACCTCAAGCGCTACGTCGCTCGCAACGACAAGAGCCTTGTCGCAAAGTCTTCGGTCACCAAGGTGAGCAAACACTCGATTCGTCTTCTGTCTGGTCCTCCGACTCGATCACTGACTGCGTCCATCCCCAGGTCCAACACGTAAGGCACAATGCCGACCCTCTCCTCTCTGTCTTCGCGCCCACCCGGGCTGGGAAGCTCGTCGCCGTCACCACCTCGTCCAGCGTCCTCCTGCCCGCAATCTCCCACCTCTATAAGCTGGCAAACTACCCCGTCGTCCTCCACGTCTCCCTCCAGCCCGCCGGCTTCCCCGATTTCTCAACCATCACAGCCATCCGCAACTCGGGATGGACTTTCCTGCAGTCAGAGTCCCTCCAGGAGGCTCAGGATATGGCACTGACGGCACACGCCCTCGCCCTGCGCTCAGGCAAGGGTGTCGTTCACTTTTTCGCCTCGTCTAGCAGCGACGACGACGCCGCCATTGAGGCAGAGGACCCAGAAGTCGTGCGCCAAGTTCTCGACGTTGACGCCGCGAGGCGCTTCCAGCAACCGTCCAACGGCGACGCCGCGTCGGCTGTCGGTATCTATGCCGATGACGGCCGACTGCCGGTCGCTTCTGACCGATCCGACGTGCCGCCGACCGGCGCCTCGCCCATTAGTGGCCTGAGCTCTTCCGAACTCGCTTCGTCCGTGCACTCCAAGCTCGACTCCTCTAGGGCCTCGGTGCAGTCCAGCGCCGAGCACAGCGTTACCGACAGCCCGCCCTCCGTCGTCTCCTCCAACGCCACCACCATAGATTCGTCCCTTCCCGTCGTCTCATCGGAGGACATCCTCAAGTACGCCAACGGCATCTGGACTCAGATTAAGAGGATCACCGGCCGTGAATACCAGGCCTTCTTCTATGCTGGCCCTACCAACGCGGAGAACTGTCTCTTCGTCTTCGGCTCCGGAGCCTATTACTTTGGTGATGTGATTGACCAGGCCCGCCGCGGAGGTGACTTCTCCAAGGTCGGCATCATCACCCCTAGACTGTACCGCCCCTGGCTTAGCTCGTCTCTCATCGAGGCTCTCCCCAAATCCGTGAAGCGCATTGCCGTGCTTGAGCAGGTCCACCGCAAGACCACAAAATGGGGCCCTGTCCTCATCGATGTTCTCACCAGTGTTAAGAGCGGCCCTGGTGGTGTGCAGACCGTCGTTGGCTACCAGCTCGGCTACATTGATCCCAAGACCGTCATTCAGGCTCTGCGCGGCGTCCTGCAGAACCTGACGTCCGACTCCCCTGTTCAGAACCTCGAGATCGGCCGCAAGGAGGTCCCTCAGCAAGTTCTCGAATACGGCCTCGAGAAGCCCCAGGTCGAGAACTCGTACACCAAGATCCTCGACCAGCTCTTTGGTCAGAGAGCCTACATTGCCAACGGCCTCAAATCTAGCAATGCCGGCATCAACTCCTCCATCCAGGCCAGCCCCGAGTTCGGCTTCGGCTCCCTATTGGCCCGCAAGGAGCGCCGCCTGCGCTTCGTCAACGAGGTCAAGGAGGCTGCCAACAGCAACCAGTTCGTGACCGAGTCTCCCAAGAGCTGGCTCGCCCGCTGGGCAGCCAATGAGGCAGACTCCAAGAAGGCGAACGAGATCGCCGATGATCTGATTCCCCGTCTTGAGACCGATGGCTCTTCCATTGCCCGTAACTTGCTGTCCAGCAAACGCCTGTTCCGTAAGGAGTCGTTGTGGCTTGTGGGATCCGATGCCTGGGCTTATGATCTCGGCAACTCTGGTGTGCATCACGTCTTGGCCTCTGGCGAGAACGTCAACATGCTCATCATTGACTCGACTCCCTACTCGGAGCGCGCCGCCGCCGATGCCAATCGTCGCAAGAAGGACATTGGTCTGTACGCCATGAACTTTGGCAATGCCTACGTCGCCTCCACTGCCGTCTATGGCTCCTACACACAGGTGCTCCAGGCCATGCTCGAGGCCGACCAGCACAACGGTCCCTCTGTCGTCCTGGCCTACCTGCCCTACTTTGGCGAGACCGACTCTCCCCTCACCGTCCTCCAGGAGACCAAGAAGGCGATTGACGTCGGCTACTGGCCTCTGTACCGCTGGAACCCCGCCAACGAGGCCAAGGGCGAGCCCAACTTCACTCTCGACTCAGAGCGCATCAAGAGCGAGCTCAAGGCCTTCTTGGACCGTGACAACCAGCTCACTCAGATTATGCAGCGTGACCCGGTCTTCGCCGCCAACCTGTCGCAGGACTTTGGCTCCGAGGTCCGCGCCCAGCAGAAGCGCAAGGCCAAGGATGCTTATGACCAGCTTCTTGAGGGTCTCTTTGGTGCTCCCCTTACCGTGCTGTACGCCTCTGACAACGGAAACGCCACCAACGTCGCCAAGCGCCTTGGTAACCGTGGTAAGGCTCGCGGTCTGAAGACCAAGGTTTTCGTCATGGAGGACTACCCTCTCGAGGACTTGGCTTCCGAGGAGAACATCATTTTCGTGACCTCGACCGCTGGTCAGGGAGAGTTCCCCCAGAACGGCCACGCTCTCTG